AAAATTTAGGTTTAAGGAAAAATCCAAAAATAAAATTAAAATTTGAGACACTTTAGGAGGAGGGATATTATTAAAATAGAAAAAAAATTATGAATTTACTCGATAATATGAATTTTTAAAAATGAAGATTTAATTAAATCCAAAAAATTTTAATATTAATATATTGATGTAATGGATATGCATTATGATCAATGAGTTAGTAATAAAGATTTTCATTACTTCAGGTATTGGTTATAAGAGAAGAAATATGAAACAAGACTAAACAGTGCATTTTGCTCGTAGAGGTTTTACTATTGCTTATTAAGGTAAGTAATTGTATTTCTGTTAATTTCATGTTTCTGATTCTTTAAATTTTATGAAAGAATGCATATGTTTTAGACATTTTATTCAGTTGAAAAGTTGCACATTAGTTCTTTTCATATTTTACTGCAGCAAGAAAGATAGACAATATAACATATTCTTTTAATTATTTTGAAATGCCTACATATAGGATTTGCATAAAAACAATACATTAGATAGACACATATGGTAGTATGAATGATTTCATCTCTCATACGATAAAATTTAAATGATTGAATGTGTATGTTGATACGGATTATCATATGATAAAGGTAAATGATAAAGACAGATGTTAAAGGCAAATATGACTCCTCAGAGCAGACTGAAAATAAAAATAATGGCCAAATTGAAAGTGTACCTAACTAAATATAAAAATATTGATACTTCCATTATGGGTATATAATGTTATGGATAAGTATTACATGCATAAAAGAGCATAAAGAAAAATCATGAAAAGAATGATAAATGAGAAAATTATGGTCATATGAAATGATAAAGGAAAATGTGTTTATAGGATGTCATACAGAATAAGCATACCCAATATCAATTCATGTCATTTATAGTGTTTCTTCTTTAAGTTATGCACTGAAATATGAAAATTGCATGCATAATATTTTTTTTTATTGCTTTATGAATTTAATAGAAATACTTGTTTCATGCTGAACATTAGCTAACCCTGGTTGTGAAAATATTTTTTAGGAGAACTTGCGTAGCTTTGATGGCTGATAGACCTGTCACTTACCATCGTAGAGAATCCCAAAGTGACATGTTCTTTATGATTATTATATGTCCTGTGATGGATTATGTATTGTGGTGTACTTGTAGTAGTTTTATGTTTATGTGTTGTTACTTTTGATGTATTAGAAATTATGAAAATGAAATATTAGTGACTCTTTTCTAATTGTATTTGGATGAATATTTAAATATGTTAATATTGAAACGAAAATTTTAATTTTTTCATACGACCATCTGTTCCTGCCTCGTCAACTTGAGCTTATCGGGCCGGGTCGTGAAAATGCTAATGATGCAGGACTACTTAGATGTGATGTTTATGGCTTCATTCAGAGGCATTGCACAGCTCATAGATTAGAATAATTTTGAAATCAAATTACTAGCAATTCTCAACGACGATGAAAACAAATAAAGGGATGCTTTGCGTAGGATAAATTACATGCTCCGAGTTTTGAACTCTCAAAATAATTAAGAAAATAAAAACAACAGAAAATAGTAGTTTTCAAATTAATCCCTAATCTAACAACGAGATTTAGGATGCAAAGAAAGTACGCTCAATTCCTATGAGTTACTAGGCTTAGCACGAGCACTTGGAGGAGACTTTCGTGATTACGATCATACCAATAAGAATTTAGACTTAAAGAAATTAGATGCAAGGGGAAGAGAAAACCGTCGTTAGGAAGGGGTGGAGATCCTCCACTCGAGGCTCTTGAAGTATTCGTCAATGGCTTCCGTCATTCAAGGAGGAATGGTTGAAACTTCTCCCATGGTAGTGAGCATTCTTGAAACTTATCCAAGGTGAGGAGACAAGAAATTCTCGTCAATGTGCGCTGAAGAAACAACTCCAAACCTTGCCAAAAATCTGAAAAGATTTCAGATTTTCTAGTTAAAACCTTAGGGAAGGTTTCAGCTTTTCCTATGAGAAGAGAGAACTCTTTGGAATAAAATTTTAGGCAGAGAATTCAATTTCAGTTTTGGAAAAGGGAGGAGTGCAAAGCCTGAATTGTTCTCAGGATTTTCCTTGGAAGGAGTTTGAGAATTGAAAACAAATCCAAGAAGAAGAGAGAGGGTGGGTCGGCGGGATACTAGGGATGGCTGCGGCAAGTTTATTTTAATTCCCTAAATCAATGAGTGGATTCATGGAATAATTTAGGAATTACGGCTTTGGAAAATTCGGCCAGAGGTTTAGGAATTTGAATAAGTATTTCCATAGGCATTGAGTGGAGTTAGGAAATAAATATTAAGTGGTCCCCATAGGGAGACGACGGGATTTCTGATCAAGGGGAGATTAATGAGGGCTAATAAAGTTTATTAACTCAGGTTTTAGATTTAGAAAAGGTTTTATTAAAATCCAATTGAATTTTGAATTTCAAATTAGATTAAAATAGAAGCTTTCCTAAAATAGATGAGTTATTTTAGGTAAGATTTTGAAATTCAAATTCAAGGATTTGAAATTCAAAATTATCCCAAATCTTCTCACACCCAAGTAGGGAACTCATGAGGGGAAAGGGGCTTGAATGTGGCCGGCGGCTAAAATCTATGGCCGGCGGTTTGGGCTCGGGTGGAGGGAGAAAATAGGGGTTCGGGTGAAGGTCGTGGGGAAGGGAATTGGTGGTGGTCTTGGGGGGAAGAAGAAGGCTCGGGTGGGGAGGAAGTTGGCGGTTTAGGTGATGGGGAAATCAAAGCAATCAAGCAAGATAACGAACCACGAACCCGGCCGTCTCCAAGGTTGGTGGGTGGTGCGCAAATATCCCTCTCCTAGGGATCTCTCTCCATTAGAACTCACAAGTTCTCACAATGCTCAAGCAAGAGGAAAATTTCTCAATAATCATTCATTCATTCCTTAGCTCAAAACAAAGGATATGAGGCTATAAATAGCCGGGTACAAAGACTCAAGAAAATAAAAGACCAACTTGCCCTTTGGGCTTACATGCGAACACTCCCATGAAAGGGGTACGAAGGGAAATAATAACGACACCTAAGCAAATAAGAAAATGCATAAATAAAATAAAATACAATCATGACTCAGAAATACAAGGAATCGATCGTGGCCGTAGATCGACGACCACATCTCTGATAAACCTTCCACGTTGATCTGATGTCCCCATCATCTAATCTCTCTTGTGGTTCTATCTCTATGACAACAATCGCTCAGCAAGAACACCAATCACTCCACTAAAAAAAATAAAAAAAAATAATAAAAAAAAAGATTTAACCTTGTTGTCACAAACTTATAGCCTTTCCTATGACATAAATTGTGCCTTGTCCCATGCTGGTAATTGACAGGGTGAGCCTCCTAGCCTTTTCTATAACGTAAACGTTTATCACCCCACTATGGGGTCTGATGTTATTGGGCAAATTATTGGGTCAGGTGACCGAATGCAGAGATGGGTCCGGATATTAATAAAATATTATTTTAAAATTAGCGCAACTAAAGCGCAGGTAAATCGCAACTAAAGCGCAAGTCAAAAAGCGCAACTAAAGCGCAATCAAAGCGCAACTAAAGCACAAGTCAAAAAGCGCAACTAAAGCGCAAGCTGACGCGGCAAATTTTTATTGGATGTCCGAACTTATTTTCCGCCTCCGGTCACCTGACCCAATAATTTGCCGCTGTTGTGAGCCTCATAGGTTGCTTCGCATGAGAAAACTAACAAAAACTACAAGGTGATATTGCTCATTGCAAACTCAACTGTCTAACCATTTTTTTATGTTTAAAAACTAACAAGCATCACCACTAATATTAATAATTAATCAGCAATTCCCTTGGCAGGATAAACGTGAAGGGCTTGATGCACAAGGATTTATAATGATTGATGAAAAGCTAAACTGCTAGCAAACATGTTTTCAACGGTTCAACCTATATATATCTCATTGATTTTGCAACAAGTAATCCCATATTAAGGTATACATCAAAATAGTGACATAATTAACGTTAGTATCATAATTAACGTTCGTATCACACATAACTACATTATTACACAAAGAATCAACTATCAGATTTTCTACATTATCTCAAGCTTTTACTGAAGGATTTCAATACAGCCCTGAGCAATAAAAATAGAAATTAAGTTACTATAAGTTTCATAGCAACTATTGGACAAAGGCAAGATGTTTATATGTCCTATAAAGAAATAAATATATGTGGGCTCCAAAAAAATCCTCGCACTTGTTTAAAAAAGTGTTGTTTTGGGTTAAATTTTAGAAGACAAATTAGATATCATGTAAAATATTAACTATATATTTCGTCCTCATTTTATGAGGACTTTAAAATTTAGTTTGAAATTTCTCATAAGCCCCTATGATTAATCACACCTCTAGATTACGAGAGAAAAATTTCAATTAAGGCTAAGGCTAGGCAATAAACATTTAGTTAGTCGTAGCTGTTATTTTGGTTTAGGAAATAGGAAATACAATACTATTAGCTTAAACTAGAATGTGCGAGGATTGATAACAAACTTGATCAAAATCACATGGTTATGCCATCTTAAGTTGTTGTCGACCATGGCCTATAGTCAACAGAGGTAGTCGACCTAATCTAATCAAGGGATCGTGCAGGGGTGAAAGTTTTCTAAGGACAAAATTTAAGTTAATCTTAGCTAACATATAGCTTATGCTCCATCAAGTGCATCTTATGATTCACAAATCATGGGCTGAGCCATTGGGGAACATCAGGGCTACAACCATAGTTATAATATAATGATGCCATTTGGGGAGAACCACTCTAGAGAACACATACCATATATTTACTAGCGTGGTATTTTTAGAGTAGTTGTCAAATACACTTAATATGACATTAGATCTTTGTGAGCTTTGGTCAAACTAAAAGTTATCATCTTTGGCAAATTGTTGTAACAGATGAATGGGCAGTTGCTTTAAGCTTAAAGAAGTAAATTTTATATGAACTCTAGCTCGTAAGGAAAAAGGAGTACCTCAATCTGAATGACGTGATTGCGAAATGCCATTTCAGGCATTAGCTCATAGACGACTGGATTATGCTCTATACCTTCCATGCACATGCCAACACCAACCTAAAAGAAAGAACGTGTAGAAATAAATAGCATTCAGTACAACTTGTCAAGACTATTATATTAATTCATGTATATCAATCAGGTCCACATATAGCAAAGAATAGAAGGATTGCCTTGTAAAAAATTTCAAAGCAACCTAAATAAAAAAATGTCGAATGATAAATGAAGTTGAAAAGGAATAAAGTTTATGCTTCGGAGAACAACGTTCTTTCCCTTTAATTGATATCACAAACAAGGTTGATTAATCAAAGATGGCTCGAATAAGGCAAATGAACATAAATAACATAAACTCAAATATTACAGTAGCATAACTCACAAGAAAGCATACTAAATAAGGTTTCACTTGACGGAATGGCTAAATTTCTGAAAAGATAACGATGATAAATAATAATGAAAAAAAGGTATCCAAGACACCTCATATAAATGGGTAAAAATAATTAACTTGATGATTTAAACCACTTCAGAAATGCCTTTATTAATTGATTTATTTAGAATCTAAACAAGTTCAAATCAAAACATCCATTTGAGAAGTGAATAAAATTACATACAAAAAATAGAAAGCACCAAATATTATATGCTTTAAATTCTTAATGAAGCAGCAAAATAATCATCATTATCCTTAAGATTAACTTCTATAAGGATGACAATCATAAATAACTGAGAACGGAAGGTTCCCTTAATATAGGTCCGATAAAAATTTTCCATTACTTCAGAGGTTCATGATACTTCTAGAACGCCTTCCAATACTCAATTGATTCACTTTTCGTATGAAACAAATAGTAAAAAAAGGGATAAAAAAGAAAAAAAAAAGTAAAAAAAGGGTATAAGCATCTAGTTATAAAGTTTACATGATCAAGATGTTGAAGGTATAACCACAATAAAATTGCAAATTTTCCAATTAATCAATACTTTTTTAAGCTTAAAAAGGTTGACATGCTTAAGCGCATGGGAGAAGAAAACTGCAACTCACAAAAGAGAAAAAAAAGGTGGAAACTCTCATCAATACTCATTTTAAATCAGGAGTAATAATGTTTGGTATAAACACTAAGATGTTCAAAGTAAACCATTTTGGGGGATGGGGGGAGGTTAATGGAAAGCAGTGTGAAAATAAATAGAAAACACAAAAATCACACAAGCTATACGAAACATAAAAATCCGAAGGTCTATATATAGACTACATCGAACAAGAAAAGCAAAGAGTACATAGTGTAATATCGTAAACCTTATTTGTTGAATGAGACCCAAAATTATGGAGCGAAAAAATGCACGAAGTAAATAGCAGTAAAAGGAGTTGCCATCTAACAAAAAACTTCAATATTTTGAAATAAAATATGAAATCAATGTATTTCATCTAATTGAAAAATCATCAAATTTTGGAATGAAAAATATGAACTCAATGGACACAAAATAAAAATTATTATTATGTAAATAAATTAAGAAAACATCTTGATCGACAACCTTCACCTCGATTGCAATCTCCCTTCTCCTTGTCTGGCTTTTTTTTTTTTTTAAGATTTCAGCTCCCTCTCCTTGTCTGGCTTGATTCTCCGCTACTCGACATCAAATTAGGTAACAAAGACTTGAGATTCATAAGAATTTTAAAGAAACATGTTTACATACTTGGGTTATCAAAAATACCCTCAAATTTTACTCCCGCGGTCAACTTTTACTAAAATTTCCATCAAATTCTAACATAATGACGATTATAGACCAAATTTGAAGAGTCAAGAAACTAAATTGGAGACATGAGAAAATATTTGACTAAAATACTACAACAATAACAACAAGCCTTTATCTCACTACATAGGGTCGGCTAAAATAGGCGCATAAAAATAATTCAAGGACTACTTTGAGCATAGACTCATAATATTTTAAATATTATGATTAACTACACATTACCCATGCATAATTTAGATTAAAACACCTTTCTTTTCATGATCAATGAATATATATTTGTATATCACAAAAATTGGCAGATTCCATTTTTAATTTGCATTTGATAATCATCTTTGGTATTAGATATAGGATGCTTATATCAAGTATGTTAAGTTATATTTTGGTTTTTCTTTAATATGTTATTATTTTCATATTGAGAATTAAGTTTTGGGAAAGAATATTACCGGTGATATCACCAACAACAGAATTGAAGATGAACATTTTTTATGATTTTAAAATAAGAGAATTATTATATTGATGAATATCAGAAGTGATGAATATAGAATGGTAGATGCATAGATTTAGACAGAGAAGTAAATTTACTTTATACATCTAATGTGAGGGAGCTTAGCTTTGCATATTTATTACTTTAATCCTTTCATACCAACATCAATATCTCATTATTAAACAAGCGAAAATTACTGACCTCACATGGCTTCTTAATGATTTGATAATAACATATGTAGTGTTACATAATAGCTATCCAATTAATTCTATAAATAATTTAATTAAGTATTAACCATAGAGACAAGTTCCATTGGGGACTAATGCACTTAAACTCCCATCAACCTCCAACTAATTTGGTAAAGGGCATTTTCCTCCCTTTGTCATTGTGTTACTACAACAAAACCTTTAGGGACTCTTCTATAACATGTGTAAAATACAAGCGACTTCTTAAAATTGGGGTCACATGTGTTGGCGTACTCAATTGGTAAAATTTGTCATCATCAAAAGTGTCCTAACATGCTTTATTTTATTTGAAAAGAGCAGTCTTCTTCAACAACTTTGTAAAGGGTTATCATCACCCTAACAAATTTAATATAAATCATTGAATGTATGCATGTTGTCCCTGTAATGAATAGAGTTGGTTAATATTTCTAAGTGAGTGAATCTCTATAATGGTGTGGATTTTGGAGGGATCGTTTCTTATTACTTATGGTACATGAAAATCTAAGAAATTTTTAGAAAAGAGCAAATAAGCGCACTTAATAGAATTCAATTTCATATTGTATTTTTTATTCTTTCAAATATGGCCTGTAATTCTTTGAGATGATCTAAGCAAACCTTATTTTTTACAACAAGATCATCAACATAACATTTTACTTTCATGTGATTCAAGAAAGTGAATCAAGACATTAAAAAAATGATTCATTGCCCTTTGGTATGTAGCCTAGGCATTTTCCAAGTCAAAGCATATGGTCGCATAACAAAATACATTAATTAAATAGTAGAAGGGCATGCATCTTTCACATTTTTAGCCAATTTAATTCATTCTAACCTAAAAATCCTCAATGAATCAGAGATGTCATAACTTGATTTGTTATCGACAAGCTCTTATGTAAGGAACAAAAAACCATCTTTTGGGCAAGCCCTATTAAGGTTCTTGCAATTGATGCTGACACAAATCTAATCATTCTTTATAGATGATAATATTGAAAATCTAATCAACATATTTCTCGTCAGATTAAACCTTCTTCAACAAGTTTTTTGGTTTCAAAGACCACATTCCCTTCAACTTAAGTCACACATACCTTGGTGGCTTTTTGCAGATGACACCTCAGGCTTAAAAGCTAATATATGAATTTTCAATACAAAGGATAAGTCGAGCATTTCATTATAAGTCAAGGTAAAGTAGTTCCTAAATTCACAAAGTAGTGTCATGATTTCATTGTCTTTATTTTCTGAGATCAAAGGGGTGAGGCAGTCTGAGGCACCTTCTCAACCCGAAGTTGATTTTTTTTTAAATTCCTCCATAGAGTGACCACCATAATTAAATTCTTTTGGCGTTGGCTTGACTTTTATGCTTTGGCCATTTGATAGGCCATATCATAGAGTTTTTTACTCGTCTTCAACCTATTTGGTGTTTAGCATATTACAAGTCTTGACCCGAGGATAGATGGATCATATAAACCAAAGTCCTTAGGTTGTGTACATGCCAAGGTCCAATATTGCTTAAGGACTTCTTCAGTCCATAGATCTTAAGGAAATAGGCTCACTCCTTACATGCCTTGCATGGAGTCCATTTTTTTTGAATTAGACTTTAAAGATATGGAGGCAAAATAGAAAAGAGATTTTGTAGGTGTTGTTGCTTCATGTGTAGAGAGGAAGATGGGAGGGAGCCAACAATGAGGAGAGGGCATGTGTGAAAGAAATGGGCGAGCAAACAATGAGAATTTTTGTTTGATTTTTTTATATGCGCCTGAGAAAATGAACTGAAGCAGGGATGGCACAGGACAACATGCTGAGGAAGGAATGTGTATATGTGTGTGTATAATTATATAAATTTAATTATAATAAACATCTGATATGATTTTTTACTTTTTATTTTTTAACAAATACCTTATTTTCTTCTAAATTTAACAATAATATTTAATCTAATTTGATTTAAAGTTTTATTAAAAATACAAATAAAATGACTAATTTGTTAATTCTTTTTTCTTGTGCATGTCAAATATTCATACTCGCCTCAAAAGGAGCTTAATTTTTAACCTATTATGGATTCTAATTTCTAATGCGCACTCATTTTATTTTTGTTCTCATTTTGAGTGAAATTTGTATCCTTTCTCGTGCAATGACTTAGGTAATGTTAGAGTCTACCTTAGTCAAATTTGATGTTTTGTTTGCATAAGAGTAGTCCGTCCGTTTTGTTTTGTGAGATGAGCTATAGTTTAATAATTTTATTAAGGGTGATATGTTTCTAGGTGAACTTGCACAATGCTATACCCATTGTCAGCATTTTCATCTTATTAGATTAGATTGATGTTAAGCAGTTATATGTAGGTCAACACTAGACATATGAAAATTACAATAGCTGAAAAACTAAACATTGGCATTTTTCTAACCATGTCCAAAGCATGCCAAAAACTCTAAAATAAAAACCTTAAGTCTAGCAGAATAGTGTTTGTTAATAAAGAGAAGTTGAGCGTTAATTTCAAACTTAGTTGTGCAATATGCAAGAAACAAAGACATGCTTTTCAATGGTCAACTGGTTCTTGAAATTAATTTAGTATTCTCCTCAAGATATCAACTAGTTCCACTTAACAATGATGTTGATTGCATACAAATACCCTTCACTTACCATGGTTGAGTTCTGGCTAACCCAGGCATCGATAGGGCCAGAAGAAATTCCATCAAGGATACCATACATTTCAATGTTGCCGCCAAAGTTGTGTAGCATACACCTGAACAATGATTTCCAATGACTTAGAAGAAAGGAAACATCACTAGTGCAAGAAAGTAAAAGTTTAATAAATTGGTCACGACAAAGGTTAAAAATGACTGCATAAAAAACTGAAAAATATCAGTATGATGAAAAATGCACTTTCTAGTTTCTAGATCAGATCTATATAAGAGATTGCAAACAGGATGATATATGGCCAATAATGAACATATTTATTGTAAGAAAGAGAATACCAGACATATGGAACACCATAAAATTGTGAAGATGTTTTCCACATAGGTTTTACATCAGCAAATAAGTCAAGAACAATCATTTTCCCAATTGGAACAGAGTGAAGAAGAGCCTGTGAAAAATATAAAATAACATGTGAGGCATGGGCTAGTTTTCACGGAAAGGGATGCCAGTGAAGGTTTAAAAGTTCAGTCAATGATAAGTCTTGTACATATTTTAATCAACATACTAGAATAAGCCACATGTGTTCCAATAAATGCAATGATCAAACAGTATTTGTTGATAAAGCATGAAAAAAAAAACAGAAAAAATATTGATGGGGACATCAGCAGCGATTTCGACACATGTACCTTCAGGAGATGCCGGAGATCGACGGCCACGATCATGATTTGTATTTTCATCATTTATGTAGTAGTTTATTTTATTTTATGATTTTTCCGTTTTTACCCTTATGGGTATTTGGTAGCTATTGTAGCCCAAGGGGCATTTTAGTACTTTACTTTCTTTGTCATTTTGAGGCCTATTTATATGGCCCTTTTCTAATGTAATAGTTAGTTTTTGATGAATGAAAAAAATATTTTCCACTTATGATCTCTTTGTGAGTTCACCCTCCTCTCTCAAATCTCTTAGTGAGTTTTGAGAAGAGCTAGATCTCTTTGTGAGTTATAGACATTCTTCTAGCTTGATTTGTGATCAAGTAGTGTGAGAACTCAAAGGAATTTCATCCAGATTATATTCTCTCTGAAATTTCCTCCCCACAACCTTTCCACTCAGCAATCCAGCCCCCATAGTGTCCAGCCGCCAACCAGCAGCTTCCCGCCAGCCACAGGCCTACCAGCTGCCGATCAACTCCCTGCCAGCCAGCCCGTAACCTCATCCCACCGGCCACAGTCCATCCCGTCCCGTGCAGCCACCCCCCCCTACTGCTCCCAATCTCACGGTTAAACAGCCATCCGTGAGCCTCCAGCCCACCATCTCCTTGCAGTTCCCCTTGACGCTGGACCTCCATGTTTTGCCCAAGCCGTGAATTCCAATTCCTGGTGACTTAATTAATTGCCTAATCAAGGGCTCATCTTAAGGCAAGGTAATTAATGACACTTAGAGCTATTTTGAAATTTGAATTCGTTTCCCTCTCATGTTAAATCTATTTGGGGAAGTTACTTAAGATATAATTAAATCTGGAATTATAATTCATATTTAATTAATTTATTTACTCTCCATGGGCCCCACTTAATTAACATTACTTCTCTCTTCCCCTCCATGTTTGGCCGAAACTCCCTCCCTGTGGAAAATAAATTTGATTTTCAAATTAAGATTTTTCCCCCTACTTCTCCCCTTTGGATTTTAATTTCAGAAATCCGAAATTTCCTTTGGCCTTTTCCTCCTACCCGAGTTCTTCCCAAGGCTGGACTTGTTTTCAAACCAAGCGTTACACACATTGTCTGTCAGACTAGTAGAAGAAGAAAACATCAAAGATACAATTGATCCTCAAATCGAGAGGAGGATCGATCTCTCCCAAATCTCTAGACACCGCTAGAGCCCAAAGAAAACCTAAATCTAAGAGATCTCAAATTTCAGCCAAATTCAAGATACTCAAACCCTAGCCAAATCAACTATTTAATGTATACAAATCAAAAGGAATTTGCTAAACAGTCCCTACGTTCAAATTCCCTCCTAAAATCCATTCAAAAACCTTCCTAAAACAGTCCCGCAAGATGAGCGGCTCGCGCGGCATCCCACACAGGCGGAGTTCTCTCCGCTGTTTCGCGAATTTCACCCGTGAACCGGTCCCGGCTGAACCGGTCCAGTGGACTGGTCTAACATAGTCATGATAGGCTCGTGGCCCTATGATGTGATATTTGTATATTGTCGATTTCATTTTATCTCTGGCTTCAACTCTTTTAAATTACCTTGATCTATGCATTATGTGGAAATTGACCTGAATCATGTAAAAATGTTTGCCATCCCAACAACCTAAACATAGAAAAAATGTATCATGGGTTTAAATGATTTATTTATTTTTATACCTCAAATTTCTTAATCCAAAGATTAAAGTATTTTATTTTATTTAAATGGCTCTTATAAGCTATTTGGTTAGATTAGAGAATTCAGATGCTTTAATAACTTAGTATCACATGCATCTGAATGTCCCCCTTTGCATTGTAATATTTTATTAGACAAGCATATTTGAACAAAGTCAATGAAACTGGTCAACCTAGCTCTCCGAATAGTCCTCACATGTTGCTTCAAAGAGGCTTACATTTGATGGAGAGCATCAAACTCATTTAACTCATTTTATTATAGTTATTTCAAACCAGCTTGAATGTTATAAGATATTCATGTTTTTCAATAGCTTTTATGTACTACACTTACCAGAGCCAGTTTTCGAAAAATACATAAACCTATTGGCATTCTTAAAATTTGAGAGTAATCTGATAGGTACCACTTGAGTATTTCAAGTGATTCCTATCGGGTCTAAGCCAAATCACTAATAATCCGCTGTTTTCTATGGAAAACAGCCACCACGCACAACAAAACAGTGAAAAATCTGAGAAGAATCGTAGAGAGAATAGGAGAAACAATTGCAAACGATGGAAATTTCACTAGTCGATACAAAAGACAATAAAGATACAAGTTTCCTTCAATCCGAGAGGAAGGAAAAACTCTCCAACAATCTCCGGCAACGCCAAGAGCCCAAGCAAGAAAACCTAGAAGACAAATCCCTTTTCAAAATCAAGATGAAAACCTAATCCCCTCATAACTCCCTATTAATACAATCTAATTCAAATTAAAAGCAAAAGGACTACTCTACCCTTCCTTCTCCCTCCAAAAACACTTAATCCATGTTTGAATTGCAAGTGGACCCCACTCACTGGCTCCCTCTCTCTTCCGCCTGGCTTGGTGTCCGCCTCCTGTAGAACTGGACCGGCTGGGCCGGTCCAGGTTGAGCAGGTCCAAGCTGGACCGGCGTAACATAATCATGAGCAAACAACATAGATGTTAAAATGACGAACTCAAGGTCAAAATAGAGATCCAAAAATTTAACACGATAGAGAAAATATAATCATAAAAAATGTTAATTAAGGGGCCGCAAACTGAAACAAAGAATCAGAGGGTACCACTAACAATGAGCCTAGAAGTTGTTGTCCACCTTTACACATGAGATGCACCTAACCAAGCTAGACAAGTGACAAACTATTCTAGCAATCATTATTGCCTTAATTTGAATATCGAACCAAATTTTGTAAACAAAGGCTTAAACAAACAAAATTTCATAGTATAGGCCAAGCAATATAGAAATTATCACTGAGAAAATTGCATAATATGAAAAGACATACAATGAAAATTCTAATAATAGAAAACCTAAATGTCTTTAATAAGGTCATAAGGGATCTTCCAATGTTAGTAAAACACTCAAGCTGAAAACATAAGTATAAAATATGGTTGGGATTTGAGAACTCTTCCAAATAAATCTTCTTATTCCTATCAGCAAGTGGATAAGGACACTACAATCAAAACATGTAGTTTTTTAAAATTTTTAGAGGAGATGGAAGTAAAAAAGGCCTGTTTCCTTCTCAAACTTAATAGGAAAAAAAATTTTATTGATTATGCTTCAGATTTGCAATGATATCTTTATTAGTCCTATTTTTAACATTCAAATGTATTATCAACGAAAGTTTGAACATGCAATTTTCCTGTTGATTCTTTTACATGAGGGATTTCAGCAAAAGTCATTGTTTCAACAAATCATTTCAACTCCTTGCCTACCTAGATAATGAAGATATCATTTCAAATGACGTGATGCTTGGGAAAAATATTGAAAACGAATTTTCAACCAGGAGGAAAGATATGTTGCATTTAGATGATACCTAAATAACTGAGTAACTACAAAAGCTAGACCCTTAACTCTTGTATAACTACATGGATATTAACTCTCCGAACAAGAGTTCATTGAACCCCAAAGGAGCAGACGTAGTACAGGCCTTTAAATAAGTCAAATCAATCAACAAAAGCCGAAGTGGAAATAGGCCAATTACAACAGATGAAATCAAGCCATAATAAATATGAATAAGGTCCACTATCAAACCTTTTAAGCCTTATTTCTATTTATGGCCAATTTCTTTTCAATTTGAACTATTTTATTAAGCTTTATCTTTTCTTGAATAAGAATATATTTAAATTTGAACATTTGTTTGAAATGGATAGGATCATATTTTCATTTAAATGTTTAGTTATATCCTTATAACGACATTTCTATAAATAAAGTGCCATGATGTGTAATTGAAAATTATTATTGATTGATGATTGAATGAACACAAATTATTTGTAGTCAATTGAATACTCTATAGATCCAAGCCACGTATGTGGAACTATTTCTCTATCCCTTCCTTTCAGAAATTGATCAAAGAATTATCTAAAACTGCTAAACTTTAGAAAAAATCACATACAGCAATATAACAACACTTCTAAGAAGAGCTTCCCTACATTCTTTGTCTAAACCCACTAAACTCCACATCTCAGCTTAAGAGTATAACGCACCTCCTGCTAATATTGAGCTTACTTTATGCAAAGTAACAACTTTTATTTGCTTCCACTTCCACACTATATTGAAAATGCTAGTACTGTTTCATTAGAACTCCTCTAGGTCAAACATCTCTCGTTACCATGAGATGGAGCTTTAATATTTGCAAATAAACTATAGAATTGAAAATGGGTGACAAGATACCTTAAAAATCTATTATAATTGACAACTTTAATTGCCCAAACAACAAAATAAAGATTTAGGTACCTGCATTAACCATATTGCATCGTTGTCACCTTTAACCATTGCATCATACACAGCTGATCCAAGTGATGAGATGTATTTTGGATCATTTGTAGGGGGCAAGTTCTCATTAAAAGTGTCACTAAACATAATTACCAAATCAAAGTCAACAAAAGTAGCAAAATCCAAAATATAGTTTCTGTTACAAAATAAATAGTACTACTCGTCCAAGAAGCATTAATTAAGTAAAATAAAGAAAAAAAAAAAGCCTCTTTGAATGTGAATGCTCGAAAAACAAAAATAGTCAATCAAATTGCATGTAGAATAGCAATGTTACAATGGAACTGGAAGATGATTCAAATAGTAGTAAGGGATTGTTTGGTTTAAAGTAAACTGGGTGTAAAGTAATCCTTTTGTAGGGATTTTGAAAATATTGATGTTTGGTTGGATGAAAAAAATGCAATGTAAAGTATTCCAAATATAGTGTAAAGTATCATGATTCATTTTTTGAGGAAAAATAAACTAGTCCAGTTTTGAGTGAAAATCTTTTTCATTGCAAACAAGTTATTTTATTGCCATCCCATCGGCCACCAAACATCGCCACCTGCCATAAGCAACTCTACGCTGGCCTCTGCTACCGGGTGCCAACTACCCTCTAATGCCAACCACCACCAACATCGATGATCTGCCACCACCATTGACGACCACCACAACCACTGTCAGTCGTCGACCACCACCATCTGTGAACTTTTCGGCGCCGGATTCAGCAGGATTCGCGGAGAGCTCCGGCAGATTTTGTGGATCCGTCGGGTAAGAGGTTTGTACACTGGCTCTCTTCCCTCTTGCCTTTTTCGTTCTTTAGATAACATATTGAGGTCAACAAAAAAGTAATCTCATGCTTTTTTTTATATTCATCCAAACAACTTCAAACATTTCAAATATATTACATTCCTTAAACTACATTTTTTTTTTCAACAAAAGAGAGCTTTTGCATTTGAATTAATACATAAGCTATAATGCACAGACGTGGACATGGACACGATACGACGCGGACACAGGACATGGCTTTTTTTAAAAATATATGACATGGGTACGACGTGGATATGTCATTACAATTTTTTATATAATGTATAGATATTAATGTAACATCGTATTAGAAATAACAAACAATAATCAATGAATGGTATGATAACTTATAGCTTATAATATAAAATGTTTAGTACAAAAGGTCTACAACCACAAAAATATAAGCGAATAACCATTTACTACAACATTAAGCAGTCAAACTTCAACTGCTAAGATTAGCTTAAAAGGTTTGTCTTTTGCCTTCAATATCACCATCATTAAATATCATTGCTTCCAACTCTAGTTCATCAATATAAATATATTCCGATATCATCAAGGGACTCAAACCATCTCCAGCAACATCCCACATTTTATTATTACCTGTCATATAAAGTGGGGACTTTCTTGAAAGAAGAAAAAGATTTGTATGCACATAAACTAAATCTTCAGCCCGTTATGGAGTAATTTTATTCCTCTTCATCAATTGAATAAATGAGTATGTGCTCCAATTTCTCTCACAACAAAAGGATGAAACTTGACCAAAAAGTTTTATTGCTATTGTTTGAAGTAGCGGTGTTGAAGCTCCATAAAACAACCACCACATATTTGAATCTATCCTCCATCTATCAACCAAAGATTTTTTATCACCAAAGTCCTCTAAATATCCAAAGAACTTTGCAAGTTCTATATTAATCCTTCTTCTCTCATCATTTGAGAAATAACATTTCAAACATATCTTTCTCATATTTGAAACTTCTAAATTTTTATGTGATGAGATACGTTGAGGATCTTCTTGAAATCATTTTTTACTTGAATATCTCCAAATAACACAAAGAAAGTAAAATTATTAATTCAAAGGCAACAAATTAAAAAACTAATTTAAAAGATAAAATCAAATTTACCTTGGATTTAATGAGTGAACCAAACAATGAAGATATGTATTACTTTTGCTCCACCTATTCTCAAGAATAGTATAGACAACACTTCAAAAACTTGAGTCTTCATCATGTGTCTTTTTTTTCATGTCTGTATGTAATTTCTTTCACTTTAGCTAACATGGAGTCTCGCATCTCATAAATCAAATGTAGGCATGATTTATTTGTGTCAGAATATATCATAAATTGGATTTATTAAATCCAAAATATAATCAATATTATCCCACCACAAATCATCTAAGATCTTTTCTTTTATGTATCTACTCTTCCCAACATTATCTTCCCGATAGCAAGATCACTTATCACTAATCACCATGGATTGAAGATCATTTTTTATTTGTTTGAATCTTCTTAACATGATTATTACAGAGGCAAAACGAGTTTCAACAACTAACATTCTCAAATATGAGAAATCATTAAAGATAGACTGTTTCATATGGTGTGCACAACAGATGGAGTCAAAATATATGAGAATATTTTTGCTCCAATAATTCTCTAGCTCTATGCACTGCTGCATTATCAATGATAACCTACACAACATGTGATGACCTAATCATCACTATCACCTCTTTAATCAAATTAGAAATAAAATATTTATCCTTATATTGATCTTCACAATTCACAACTTTGATGAACACTGGGTAATTATCTGTAATAGCCATAAAATTGATGAGTGATCTCCTTTGAGGATCAGTCTAACCATCGCACACCAAACTCACACGTTTTTCTTTTCAAACTCCTTTCAAAGGTTTAAGTAATGTCTCAATATTTACTCTCTCCCTCTCTAATAATTTTGATCTTATTGCATTGTATCTAGTTAAACATACTCTGTAAGATTATTATTGCATGCATTAGTAAAAGCATTCTTATAATGAGAATTCCTTACCAGGTTTAAAGTCCAGCTGAAAAAAATATCCTTGCAATTTCAGCATCAAGTTGCTCTCTCATATGCATATTAAAAGCCTTATCAAAAAAACTACCAACAACTCCTTTTCTTTTCTTAGATTCATGTCCTTCACTTCTAAATAAATCAACATTATCAACTCTAATAGAGGAGGAAGCAGTGTGGGATGAACCATGAGTAGAGGGCAAAGATATCTCTTTAGGAAGTGCCCTTTTTATCCTTGATTCATCTTCATCAACCTGTTTGTTCAATTATATCAATTGTAAAGTAGTAATCTTAAGACACATTTTAATTCCATGACCACCAAATTTAAGTAGATGTGCTTTCACCTTAGAGTATGATCCTTTATAAGTAACACCATAATAGTTGCATTTGAATAACATATTTCCTCCACCATCACTTTCAGTCCCACCACTACTAGAGCTCATTTTTGCTTTTAAAAAGAACTAGTGTAATCGAAAATAAAAAGTCTTAGTATTAAGCAATCGCACACACCTTTTAAGAATAAATTGAAATTAATTGAAATAGAAAAAGTTGGTTCTTCTTTGTATCTATTACTTCTCTAGTTCTCTCCCATAATATTTCTTTAACCTCTAATCTAAATCACAGAAAATGTATCTATTTATTTCTCTACTTCTCTCCCATAATAGTTCATTGCATATCATATAATTAATCTTTTTTCTATTAATCTTAAATCTTTTATATTCTAGATATTTTTTATATCATTCTAACCTTTCACCTATTTCAACAAATCCAAATAACTAGAATTGTCATGAATACATACACTAAGATACCTCAATGTTAAAACAATGATGTAAAGTTCTAATACTAGTTAATGTTCCATAATCTTAAGAACTTTAATATAAATAAAACATTCTTTGTTTTATATATTTTTTCATTAATTGCCTTAGCATAACAATCACATCCATTATGAATCTTTCAAACATATGGATAAATTGAGCCTTAAATATCGATGTAATTTATTATATGTTCCTCCTATAACTTCAATGTATAACTCCTATGTTTAATTTCCCTAAAATCAACAATAAATATAGACAATAGAGGGAACAAACTAACGTTGCATAATTTGCTCACATGTTTTCTAGCAGGAATATAAGAGGGAAAAAAACTAAAACAACAAATAATTTGGTCCTCTACCTCCTCTGGCTTCAACGAAAAAACAAGTCGAAACCTTTGATGCCCAAAAAATGGCGAAGACGAACCAGTGAGAAAAGGAACGTGAAACCAAATAAGTGAAGAAAATGGCTCTAGTCGGACATACCAGGCGGAAAATAAAGCAGTAGATTCAAAGAAAACGTTGACGAGAACGTTGCGGAGGTTCCAGGCTCGGCTCGTCGCAGAAAAGAGGTTCAGGCGTGCAATCTCTAGGTTCGGTGGGCTCACCTGGTCGTGCAATCGAAGAAGATGAGAGCAGACGATGAGGAAGAGCGACGGTGCAGAGTTAAAAGTCGAAAACCCTAAGGCATACAGGCATACAAGCATTCCGGCTGTATTGATGCATATAAGGTTCTGGGATGTGCTAAGAGATTTTTATTTGATAAAAATAATATAAAAAATAAAAAATTTGTAATTTTAAAAAAAATTATTATAAAAAATTAGGATGCGCCAGTCCATTTAAATTTAACTATTATTTTAATTGGACACGTGTATGCCGTGTCCTACACGTGTCTCAGCCATGTCAGGCACATGTCCATGTCCGAAACGTGTCTGACACTGTTGACTCTTTAACGACAAGAGGTCGTGGGCGATCGTGAGGGGACGTCGACGTGCGAAATGCGGCGACGACGTGCGACTGCGTGGGATGGCAGGTACGTTGATTTTAATTTTTTTTTTGTTTTCTCTCTTTTGTTTTATACGTCGGGTTAACAATAAGCTAATCTAATGCTACGACCAAAGGGCTCTTTTTCAAGGAGCCAACAAAGAAGTTATTCATTATTATTTTTTTTTACAACACATCAGCCCAATGAAACAAGTGTATTGTTTTATTTACCATTTTTTTCAAAATAGAGTTTGCAACACTCTGTGGGTTAAATATTACACGCTAAACAATTAATGAATGCAACTCAATTGAGTGGTCTTGTCTTTATAGAGTATAGGTCCAATAGTTTGAATCTTGCAAAAATATATAAATGATAAATAAACATCAAACAAGGTCGGGATACTTTATTAAACTCATAAGCCCCTAATATATAACACGTTTTTGGGTTGTATGATTATTGATTGTATGATTTTTTTTAAAGAAATATTATGGTAGATAGCTCTTCCTTCTCTTTCCCTCTCTTCCCCAGTATATCAGTTTATTAGTATCGTCCTCTAATGCAAATTTTAGATAAAAGATTTCTATGTGGAATGCATAAAACATTGTCTGAAGTCCATAAGGAGATATGAATAAATTCTTTTTTAGATACAGATAGGTTGATCCGCTAGCAACAATGACAGGAACAAGGTATGTCATGATGAGGAAAATAACTTTCGATAATCGTTCAAATGGAAAGAAGCATCAAAATCTAAAATCCAAGACATTAGAACGAGCAGCAACAATCAAACCAAAAGAAAAAACTGGATGAGCTATTAAATAGGTCAGCTGGGAGTGTTGTAAGAGTTAATCCTAGTCTTCTTGAGGTAGAGAAACTACATGAAAATGATTACTAATAGAACCGACCGGGGTAGAGGTGGAGATTTGTTGAGAAGTTAGAGGATAACCAATTTTCCTCAATATCAATTAGATGAGTAATAAAACCTTGGATAATGCAAATAAGTTGAAAAATAGTTGCGAACACAACCAAGGTTACCACATCCACAACTACCATGAGAGTAGCTTTAATAATGGTAAAAGTTATCTAATCTTGATTTGAAGAAGGCGGAGCACTGAGTTTAATGACCCGGAGAATGTGTGAGAGGGCACTGGAGATGTTTGGAACCTCATAGTCAGCCATTAATACAGCTTGAAAAAATGGTCAGAAAAGAGGATGATGAGAAACTCAGTAACATTTCAAGTAGTCAAATCAATGGTAAAGGGATAAAATTAAACAAATTCATCCAATTTCACTTTCATTGTGTTGTAATATACTCAATAGATTTATCATCCTATTGAGAACATATCAAAGTTGATGTTTAATGGCCCAAGAAATGTTATGGTCTAGAAAGTAAGCGGAACACAGAAAATCCCACACTCTGCTGGATATCTCCTAAAATATCATAGAGAAGCTCTATGGTACTTTAAATCACCAGATTCCATCAGCCTTTTAAGGGCAGGTGATAAAGTATTTGAATTGGTATCCACACATGCACAAGAAAAAAACGACAATCTTGGCTAAATTGAAGCATAACAGCCATCTAGTGGCTAAATTGAAGCATGACATAACCAAAGTTCAGCAAAGCAATAAAAGTTTAAAAACTCACGAAATTAAAATTTAGAAAAAAAAAACATTTTTGATATTCCAATTATACGCCTTTCTTAAGGTTCAATTGTTGTGTATCAAATTCCTAAAAAAACATTAATACTCATATATGATTTACATAGCAAATGAAAAATAAAGTGGAGCAAAAGCATCATAGAAATTATAATTTGCATGATAAGAAATAACACTGCCTCTAGCATCATAAAAATTAAAATTTACATGATGAGGAAACTATGATTCACCAACACTCTGCTTAAAGAGGGTATGCAGTGTCAGACACGTGTCGGACACGGACACGCGTACGACACGGCATGGACACGTGTCCGACACGGCATTGGAGTGTCACAATTAAAAAAATTAAAATTAAAATCGAACACACGTGTTCGGTTATTAAATAATAAAATCATCCAATTCGTTCTATTTAGCCTTTTCCGCGAACGAGAAGCCCTATTTTTCCGATCCATGCTAGGTATCGCAAGGTACATGCTAAGTACCGCTAAGTACATGCTCGATACTGTTAGATATCGCTAGGTACATGCTCGGTACCGCTAGGTATCGCTAGGTACATGCTCGGTACCGCTAGGTACATGCTCGGTACCCGCTCGGTACTGCTCGGTATCTTGTTGAACCCTGCTAGGTCGAACCCTACCAAGGGACAGCGCCCCCTTGGACCCCCAGCAAACCGATATATTGTTGTATTCATGTTGTCTTATTATTGAGATATTTTGATTTCACTTCATATCAATTTAACTTGATTTATTCCTATGTATGATTGGTTTACCGATTTAATATAATGTCACCTTAATTTCTATATATTATATTTAAAAATTATTATACCGTGTCCACACCGCACCCGTGTCCTATTTTTTTTAAAAAATGTCGTGTCCCGTGTCCATGTTGTGTCGTGTCCGTGTCAGTGCATCATAGTGAGGAAATAACACTGACTCTGCTTGAATGCATAATATCTACATAAATGAAAGAAGAACATGAAAGACAGAAAGAGGCATATAAACAAAAGAATAATCCTAAAAAAATCAAAAGATGAATTACCAGTTGTAGATGTTAGTTATATGTCCATATTCTGCGAGCCACAAAGGAAAACATCAAGTCAAGGCCAGCAAAAGTTGATAAAATAAATGAAAATTTTTTAAAGACTAATATAACTTAAAGAAACTAGCATACACCATAGCATGACATTAAAAATCATAAGTTATGATAATGGTGCCAAATATCTCATCCTCAAATTGAAATTTTAACTACATTCCAGGTAATAAATAATTGGGGTTTCAAAAGCACAATTGCCAAAACCAACTGCAAATTGCTTTTAAATAATTAGAAAAACAGAGATGAATTTCAAGGATTAAAATACACATAAATGTATATAGCATTTATACATATTTATGTGCATATAGAGAGAGAAAGAGGGTCGGGTGCTACATATGGAAATAGAGGTTCATGCTATTCATAACATTTATTTGAAAGAGGATAAACAATGAAAGGAAAGATCGTTGAGCTTGATCAACACTCTTGCAACTTGATAGAAAAAGAAACATGTGAATGTTATCGACTGATGAGAGAGTAGTAATGCCAAAGAGCGTTACTGAAGAAGTGTTTGCTTAAATTCAAAACTTTTGGTTATAATCTAAAAATATAGTTTGGAATGCACATAAAATATCATTTGACTATATAGCAACTACAGCTAGATAAAATAAGGAGTCTTCTACAACTTATCAAAGATACTCATGAATGATAACATAAAATGTGCTAAGTCAAAAATCAAGTGAGAATACCCAATGGATTTGGTCCCCAAATGAATACAAATATTAACAGTGAGATTTTGTTTTGGAATCTTAAAAACAAAATACTACATGTGAATACAGACAGAGATAATTATTTTCTATTGTTCAACCGGACTAGAGACTATTTTCTAAACAAGTTTTCTTCTTTTTTTTTTTCCTTTGAGTAAGAAAGGGCAGTCAACTCCATGGACACAGGAATGAGCCCATAATCCTTGAAGCAATTTAGAAGTGGCGGAAACAAAGGCTTTTCGGAAAAATAAACAACTAAATGTCATGATGGAAGGGATATTCCCTGCTATGCATGATAATTCAAGTTCCTTTGTTGTTATGACCTTCATAAGCGGTATTTATGATGAAACTAAAAAATTCTGAAAAAAATTCAATGATATGAGGACGGTAACCATACACACACATAATATAAAGACTCAAATTTTCATTACAATCCTTAAATCGTAGTAAATTCTATAATATCTCGAGTGAAGAAACCCTTTGTTTTTCAAGTTATGCATGGTATATTATAACATTATCAATGTCCAGCCTGATCACAGAGTGTAAATGTCATCACTAACCGAATGGGTCATTTTTTTCATTTTCATTAGCACATAAAAAAGGATATTAACAATTTATCTTCAAAGTTTTGAAATGTTTTGGAACCTATTGAAAGCAGATGTCACGTTTAAGGATACAATACAGAAAAAAAAAGGTATGATTGATGAGTATGGCAAACCTAAAAACCTTTAATTTGTTGCTTGATAAATGCTCTGCCAGCTTCAATAAATAGAGGATCTGATGGATCAAGAAGATATGTGCAGCACCACCGGGGATCACCATTAACAGTGTTCCTAAATAGAAAGATAACACAAGCAATACATACCGTTTACAATTAATCAACAAAGGAATGAATAAACAAATAAATACATATAAAAATTGGCCCCATTGTTAGTACATATTTTCTTCTCACACCAATGAGAAATACCATTCTATTATGATTGCATCTCCATCCTAGCAAATATACAACCTATTTATCTCCTTTGATAAAGCTACTAGTTGCAGTTTCATAAATAGGGAGAAGTTAAAGGGTACCATGTTTAGTTGCCAATGATTAGTATGTTAACTAGCATATGCATGCATATGACGGGTAGGCCTACTATGGAAGCTATACATTTATTGAGAGGTTAGATGGAGAAGTATAGAGAGAGTAAAGAGGATCTACATATGATATTTATTGAATTAGAGAAAATATGATAATGTTCCAAGAGAAGTGTCTAGAGAGTTCTAGAAAAAAAAGTTAATAATGCTTATATTAAAATCATTAAGGATATATATATATATATATATTGTTTTCTATGTTCAAATACAAGGTGATTTAATCAAGTATTTTCCTATTTCAATTTTGTATTACATCAATGATCAACTTTAGCCCATATCTTTTTTGCTTTAGTCATGGATTTTCTTACTAGACATTTGCAAGAGGATGTACCCTGGCGTATGCTTTTTGCTGATGATATTCATCTTGTTCATAATACTAGAGAGAGTTGAAGGAAAACATGAACTATGGAGGTCAACCTTAGAGTCTAAAGGTTTTTGTTTGAGTATACCTAAAACTAAATACATTGAATGTAATTTTACTAATAATAGATCTAGTAGTGGGATTGTGACATTATGTGATAAAGTAATGGTGAAATAGATGTGGATATTATTAGTAGAATTCAAGTTGGATAGTTGAAGTGGAGGAATGCATCGAGCTTGTTGTGTGATGGAGAACTACCCCTTAAACTTATGGGGAATTTTTATAAGATGATGGTGAGACCTGTAATGTTTTAATGGTGCATAATGTTGGCCATTAAAAGAGAAGCATAAATTTAATTTGGGTGTTGCAGAGATGAGGATGCTCGGATGGAAGAGTGGCTATATACTTAGAGATAGTATATATGTGAAAAGGTTGGAATAGCTCCAGTGGCAAGTAAGATTGCAGAGAGTCGTCTTAGAGGACATATAAAATGTTGGCCTTCCAATGACCTATTAGGAGAGTAGATGTATTAGATCCAGCCTATGTTAAGTAAGGTAGAAGTAGACCTAAAAAGACTTAGTTAGAGTATTAGTATTGACCTTTTTTAATTAGATTTAAATGAAAATTTGACTCTTAATAGGACACAATTGAGAAAAAGAATTCATGTAGTTAACCCCACTTAGTGGGATAAAGGCTTGTTGTTGTTGTATATGTAAGCTATCAGCTAGTATGGATAAGCATATATACCCCTGGAAATAGGAATTAGGTTGATGTTATTGATGATCCATGATAAAGGTGAGTTAGAATGAGTTAAAAGAAAAACTATCAATGCCTTTATGTAAAATCATCACCTACACAAACTTCTAACCATGTCTGTAAACCAATTAAGCATATGCAAGCAAAGCATAAAATGGGTAAAGCTTGTCTACTGATCCGTCAAGAAAGTTAAATCTCACTTGCAAGAGATTAGCCAAGTAGACCTATCCACGCAAAGGAATACGGAATGTTTGATAAGCGTGAACCAAGCAAATGAAATTTACTTTGCAATTTTATAGAAGGTAAAAATGGCATATTCACTCCATTGACTAAAATTGCGCTGAAAAAAGTGATAGCATATTTCAGGTATTAACCAGAGATTTAAAAAATCATTAAATTGGGTGATCATATATCCATGTCTAACACTATAAGCATATAATTCAGCCTTTTATAGAGAGTTTTAGAGAAATGTGAAAAATAACAAAGTACACATGCTTGACAAATCTATCATCAGAGAAAAATGGATCTAGGTCAAAAAGAGAAAGTAGATCAACAGAAAAATAACAAAATAAAATCATATAAATATGATATTAATATTATAAACATCTGCTGCAATCTGAAATAATTAATAATGAAAGAAATAGCAGCATACCAATTGCTCAGTCTAGTAATGTTGGCAGTAGGAAATATCTTTCTGAATATTGCAGGAACATTCCCAGAAAAGGCTGGCAGCACTGAAAAAGTTTATAGATTTCATGAATATTGCAATTCCAAGTATGAAGAACGAAGGTTCCAAGAGACCATCAAATAAACTAGTAAATAATGCCTTACAAGAAAATTGTGAGAAGACAATATTACTAGTAAATATAGTGATGCATGACAAAATTTACCTGGAATTAAAAGGAAATGAGATGCCAATTTTTTTCACATGAAAGCATGAAAATTCATGACAAATGTTACCTGGAATTAAAAGGAAATGAGATGCCAATTTTCTTCACATGAATGCATGAAAATTCATGACAAAATTTACCTGGAATTAAAATGAAATGAGATGCCAATTTTCTTCACATGAATGCATGAAAATTCAAACTCACTCGACTGAGAATGCAATCACCTACCAAAACACAGGCATATCTAGAAGACTGATTTTAGGTACAAGATGGATGAATAACTATGGATATCCCAAAAAAAAAGAGACCATCAAATAAACTACAAAGAACTTTTAAGTGCATAAAGATGAGAATGTATGGAAGAGGTGGAATTAAAGAGTCCATAGCATAAATAGATAACTTCAACATGCTATTTGTCTCACAAGAATGAAGTAGGAGTTATTGATGTTGGAGAATTTTTGTTGTCCTCAAACGGATTGCATATTTTATGATCAAGTACGGCATAAGAAAAATGATATATTATCCCGAAGGATAAAAATATCATTTTCTTAAGGACTCAATAATAAAATTTACAATTTAACAGAGATTCTCCATTCAATGTTTGGTTAAATTTGGGTTTATTTTATTCTGGGGTACAGATGCCCCATAGGGGCAAGATTAATTACATCTCAAGCTTTTAGTCCCTTGAGAATATTTTTTATTAAACTAGTGGTTTTCTTGCTTTTGAAAATCATTCAAATAATGGCAAAGATTTGAATTTTAAATTCATGAAAATCTTATTTAAAGTGTTTTGGCCTTTAGAAATTTCAAGGAAGAGGGGTGATCAACTTGAAATCAGATATTGGAATGAGAGCCAAAGAAGGTGTAGTAGGAGCTTTTAATTCTGTGAAATCTCAGAGGTGCTCGAACTATCCTATATTGAGCTTTATATTTTAGAATCTAATTTTTATTTAAGTTGACATTTTCATTAGAATGTTGGGGTTTACATTCCAACAACACATATTGAAGAAATTGCCTGAAAGGTGAGGACTTGTATGGAAATCAAGCATTTCCTCGGACCCTAAAATTAAGGTGAGGACTACTGAGATATAGTACCTCGAAACTAAGTGTAATGAAGTGCAAAGAGACTACAAACTATACCTCACATGAAGCATAGCCAACCCGACCTCTGGATTTATTGCCTTGTCTGGAAAGGGCTACCAACTAAACCCACCTAATCGTTTTTAAAGTCATGACGTCAGGTCTTGATGCATAGGGAGGCTGTTTTTATTTAGAAAGTATGATTTACAACTTGGCTTTGAGGCCAAAATGCCTAACCATGAAGGGTATGCACATGCTGACTTATAAAGAAAATAGATTTTTGTTATCAAGGCCTTAAATGAGGACTTTCTATATGCAACACACTGGGCTATGTATGATCATTTTAAATTTTTTAAAAACTTGGGTCCTTAAAAGGAGGCATGCAATTTTTTTTTTTTAGAAAAATGTGAAGCCTAATTTGATTTTTAGATTGCTTACATTTTAATGGATAGAAACTTTTTTTTGTATTAAGAGCCTATCGCATTAAAAGTACAGGCCACCCCTAAGCAAAACAAGGAAAAAAACTAGGAAAAAGCAAGCATTTTCTAGTGCGCAATCATGTAAGAAGATCAAAACATGCTTGAATGTATAAATCAAACAAACTGAATATAAATTATAGAGTTCAAGTAATTACAACCATATTTGATAGATGAGTTGCCTATCATTATATAACCTACTCAAATATTTATTTACAGACTCTACTTGTAAGGTCTCCAGGCTTCAACTTTCAGGTAGATCTTTAGGCTTCAACTTTCACAAGTACACCGTTCTTAATCTACCTCTTCTTTTAATCCAAACCCCACAGGTTTAATATAGCTCATAATTCTATCAAATACATGTAAAAATGTAAAAGTCTCAAAGTTGCAAGACAGAGTCAGAAAATAATTTATATAATAAATATATCACATACAAAATTTTATTTAGCACTTGAAGCATCAAACACCTACTTTTACCCTATTGGCCACATCAATTTGGGGGTTTTAAGCAGCACCAGTTATGCAAGCATCTTTATTTATTTGCACCCTTTTTTTGGACATGTCCACCTACAAGAAAAGCGTGTATATTTTTACATCATCCACTTAAGGGCAAGTACCCACAACGCAGACAATCCAATAGGCAATCACACCACAACATCAAACACATGCGCAATAAAAGAAAAATCATAATCCTAGCATGTCTAAGGGGATGTGCATCTAAGTGTGTGAGGCTTATGTGGCATATCACTATAAGAGGTGTTTCACTTAGAGTTTGGGTCTAAGGGAAAAGCGTCCAACACTAGTTTTTGAGCTAACTGTTGGAAGAACCTCTCCTTAGCTTTTGGAGCTAGGGAGATGGATGCTTTTTTTAGCTTTCAGACTAAAGAAGAGGAAGAGGTGTCCAACATGTAGCTTTTGAGCTAAGTGTTGGAAGATTCTCCTCAACTTTTGGAGCTAAAAAGGGGAAGATTTTTTATAACTTAGACGTTGGAGAGGGCAGATGGGTCACCTATTTATTTTGGCTCAATAGGTGAGGAAGATTTGCAACTTTGATGTTACAAATCAAGAGGAATAATCATTGAACTTTATGTTCAATGATGGGTATTTAGTTTGCTAAATTTAGATAAAGCAAATATAAGAGAATGATGTGTAGATTTGGGCTACACATCAAGGAGTCTTTGAACTTTCGAGTATCCAAAAAGAGGAACTCATTCACCTAACTTGGGTTAGGAGGATGAAAGAAAGCTAAGATTTTGACTCATTTGCTTGATATGTAATTATTTGTTGATTTTGGTTCAACAACTAAATGATTTGGTATGAATTATTTGTTGATTTTGATTCAACAAATAAGTGGTTTGGTGTAGATTTGGTTCACTCTTTTGGGTTGTAGAAAGAGTTTCATACAACTTTTGGGTTGTAGAAAGAGTCTCTACAATTTTGGTTTGTAGAGAACATATGAGAAAATGCAACTTGGAGGTTGCAAATTGGAAGAATTTCTTTGAGCATTTGATGTGTAAAGAAGGAAATATTCATCCATCTAACTTGGGTTAGTGGAATGAGAAGAATTTCTACAATTTTTTAGTTGTAGAAGGAGAAAAGAAAATCCAACTTTGGGTTGCAAACTTATGAATGCTCTTTGAATATTTAATATTCAAAGAGAAGGAATACACTCTCCCAATTTGGGTTTAGGAGAGTGGAAAAAGATTTGAATGTTCTCCTATAATTTTAGCTTATAGGAGATGATGGAGAAAATGAAACTTAGAGGTTGCAACTTGGGGAAATCCCTTGAACATTTGATGTTCAAAGAGAACCATCCATTTGTCCAATTTGGGCTTAGACAAATGAAGGAGAATTTGGAGGTTTCCTAAAATTTTGGCTTGTCGAAAATGAAAAGCGAAAATGCAACTTACAGGTTGCAGATTGGAGGAAACTTTATGAATGTTTGGTGTTCAAAGAGGGAGGATTATCTACCAATTTGTTTTGGACAAATATAAGGTGGCATGTAGATTTATCTAAGCATTATGGGAGTTCTTTGGACTTTTAGGTGTCTGAAGAAGAGGGATTATTTGTTATTTTTTGGCCCAACAAATAAGTGATTTGATAAACTCCCTACAACTTTGGGGTTGAAGGAAGGAGATGTAACTTGAGAGTTATAAAATTTCATGAATGTTCTTTGAATATTTGGTATTCAAAAAGAGAAGATCATTTACTTAATTTGGGTTAAGTGAATGGAGGAGGAAGACTAGAATTTAGGCCCTGAGTCTAAACGGGATGTTCATTCATCTAATTTATGCTAGAAGAATGAGATGATTTTCTACAATCTTGGCATGTAGAAAAGAATAGGAAGATGCAATTTGGATATTGCAAGTTCATAGAAGATCTCCTTGAACTTTTAGATATTCAAGGAGAGAGGTGCTCATCCACCTAACTTGGGTTAGGTGAAAGAAAGATTTTCCTACAATTTTTTGGCTTGTAGGAAGGAAGGAAGAAGGTGCAACTCAAAGGTTGCAAATTAATGAAAGTTCGTTGAACAATTGCTGTTCAAAGAGGAATATGTAGAAAAATTATGGAATTTCCTATAACTTTTGAGTTGGAGTGAGGGAAGGAACACGCAACTTGTGGGTTGTAAATCCATGAATATTCCTTGAACATTTGATGTTCAAAGAAAAATAATCATTAGCTAGTTTTGTGTTCCAATAAATAAAATGGAGAAACTTAGAATTTGGCTCTAAGTTTGAAGGATTCATGTAGTGATATAATTGGAGACTTAAGGAGCCTCAAATCATCATACATCGCATGAGAGGATATTTGTTGGTTTTATGTTACAACAAAAAAGATGAAAGAACTTGGAAGTTGGTTCCAAGTTGCAAATGGCTAGGATTAGAATCCTAAACCTAAGAGGATATTCATTTGTTGATGTTGTATCTCAACAAATGATAGAGGGAGCTTAGAATTTGGCTCTAAGCTCCAAAATCTTAATATAATAATATGTTGGAACTTTGGAGAATTCCAAACCATCATATATGAGAAAAGAGACATGTTCATTTGCTAAGTTTGTGTTATCAGCAAATTAAATGGAGACTTAGGATTTGTCCCTAAAGTCTTGATGATTCATGTAATGGAATATTTGGTGTTTTGAAAAGAGGCTCCAAAATATTATACATGAAGGGAAAAGAGTGTTTGAAAGCAAGCTCTTTCTATTTGTTAGAACTCAAGCAACAAAAAACATGGAGCTTTGAGGAAGCTCGAGCACCGAATTTGAAGAAGGATATGCATGAGAAAGAGAATTCCTCCTTCCTCTATGAATGTTTCGGATTCATTTTGGAGAAGGAAGATTGATTTTCTAGAGCTTTGGAGAGGCTTCTAAATCAATTTTGACATGATTAGAAGAAACTTGGAGGCTTAGTGATCCTAGGAAGAGATATAGGGAAGATAGTTTTGATCTTAAGTTAAAATGATTCATGCAATGAAATTTTTGGAGCCTTGAGGTGCTCCAAACCATCATGCATCAAAAAGAGGAGGCTCCATTACAGAGCTCTCAATGCAGTTAAAAGGATTTCCAAATCAGTACTTTTGACATGATTGGGAATTTTGAGAAGGAAGAATATATTCCTAAGACTTCTAGTTGATTTAAGACCAAATTTAGTATGATCTAAGAAGAACATAGGAGTGCATGCATGTGTAGATGATTCTCCAAATTAAGAAATTTTGATAATTGAGAGCAATCAAGTGTTTGTTTTGTAAAATGTCGTACATAAACTTAATCAACAATATATTGTGGGATATACACCTTAGACTTTGGAAAGTATATGGGAGACCTCACAATGATTTGATATTTCTAATAGTTGATTAAATTCATATTCAAACACTCACAACAAAATCTCACTAGAGTTCATAAACTTCAAGCCGGAAGTCTAGTTATGAAAAAAGGTTGAAAGAAGGGGACATGCAATTTGGGCGAGTTTCAAGTTTATGAACATCCTCATGTACTTAAATTGCTTCAACAAACAATCAATTCAAGAATTTCATTCCACACTCTTAAGTTTCATGTGATGCAAATTATAAATTTAATCGATCATTCATGTTGTGAGATTTGCTACATAAACTTTTGAAGGCCTATGTCTCACCATGGCTGAGAGTCTAAATCAATTAAATTCAAAACATGCATTAAATAAAACTCTAAATGTAATTAATATTATGCATGCAAAATTTCGTTCTCATGGAGACCATGAGGCCAGCAGGCCCCACTGCCCAAACAACCCAATCGGCTCCCCTTTTTGAGAAACGAAGGATTTGATGAGGATATCAGATGAAATCTGATGCGTTGGTTGGGAAATTTGATTTGGGAACTAAAATTAGCCATGATTTCATCAATTAGGGCTGAAATTGAGCCCAAATTAGACTCGACCCGAATAGATTTGAGTTGATTTGGGTCCGATCAAGTCAATTTTGAAAAATTAAACTTGAATCGGCATCGGATTGCGTCAAATTTGGTTCGACGACGCTCGACGAGGCTTGATTGGGTTCGATTCGAATCGATTTGAGATTGGTTCGATCAATTTGATGTTAATTTAATTAAATTGAGGCCCGATTAAATTGATCAAGCATGATCAAGCCTAGTCGGGCTCGAATCAGCTCGATCGGGGTTGAGTCGATGTGAGAAAAAAAAAAACACATCAACAATTGAATCCCAATTAGTGACCAGAAGATTGAGAGCCATAATGATTTTATTTCAATTGTTTTCCAACATAATCCATAAACCATTTAATAATGATCTATAGTTCATCCTGCAGTTTTAGAATACTTCAGAACTACTACTCTGCTTTCAACATTTTGGATTATGTTTTCAAGAAACATAGAGCTGCAGCTGCTTAGACTTACTTACATATATAGACTTGCAGACATTGACACGTGTGTGGCTTTTTGTGAAACTTCAGGTAATTATGGAACAATCTTGTTGTGAATCACGACAATCACCATAAAACATTCAAACTCTATAGATATCAACTTGCTTCCTCTTAAACCAAAAAGCAAAGAGAAACTATTATTTGGTATTTGAAAAAGTGTTCTTTGGATATAAAATTGAGTCTACAAACAAAAATCTCAAAACAATGATAAAATATACCAGGAGTCATCCCAAGCTCAATCATTCGAGGAAGTATGAGCTTTTGGAGGTTCAGCTGCTGGTCCAACCAGTTCTGGGAAAGTGGTCCACCCCACCTACAGTGCATTAAAAAAATTAACAAAAAAGATTTTATTTTTGTAAGAATGTAACGTTCTTTCAAACTAATTTTGGAAATTAATTTTCAAAATATTAACAGAAATCATAATTTCCTAAACCATCAAAAACTTTAACGCGTCGTGCTTTTTTTTATTTAAAATGCCACTCCCATTAAAGAAAAAATTATTTACCCATGTAAATTCCCCATTCTAGCCCATGCAAGAAAGGCCGGCCCACCAAAAAAGTTACCAAGATCTTCATTCCCGACATCAAAATCCTGAAATGAAATCATTATCAGCAAAACAAAGAAAGAAAAACTAAAAGACCAAAGCAATTCAAAATCTAAATAAAATAACATCCAATTCATAGCCAGCAGGCCATCGCTCCTGGGGATGCACACATCTCTGAGAACAAAGACATTTCTGAACAAGAGACCAATAGGAAAAAAAAAAAGAATGGGAACTTGGGGTAGAAAATCTTGATATATTCATAATAGTTGCATTGAAGTTCATAAATAGTTAACAGCATACGGTTATGAACCATCAGTGTATGATGCCCTTAAATTTATATAGTCATCATAATTTCATCTCACTTTTATCACAAAATAGAAATGAAACAAAACTAATGATAAATCAGATTCATCTAAGTAATACGTTATACAATAATTGATGAAAAATATCAGTTAAATAATATAAGATAAATCTAAATATAACACTTAGAACATTCCAGCTAACCTCAATATTGCAATTGTCAATGCAAATTTTTAGCCATGCATTGACCATAAATCTAAAATTTCCTCTACGATTTCGCCAACTTGAACGTCCTATATTCATTAATGCTGAGAAACTAGATCAGCTCCTCACCAATCAACCACCGATCCCAGCCCCGTCAACCTCACCTCCCAAAAAAATGCCCATCTCATTAAAACAATATCAACTGGGAAAGTGTATAAACTTCATAAATGCTAGAATTGTATTTGTTCTTCTATCAACATTGCTATGTGGAGAGACTTATCTTCTTCTATAAGCGTCCTCTACCCCTCCCTTGCCAGTCTCATTGACTGTTAACCATGAATTTCATCACCTTTAACAATATGCATTCACTGTTTGAAGATGCACATAAACAGTGCATTTACTAACTTCCCGCCTCCTCACTCCTTTCCACATCACATTAGCCAGAACAGCAATGGCAAACAAATGCATAAACCTAATAAAACCCATTAATGCTTTCCCCTCTATCAATCATGTACTCTTATATTAAAGGGGAAAAACTTCTCTACTTCCATGGGAGTTGATGAAAAAAAATGAAGACGAAGACACTCCCCATACAAAACTTTGAGTGATCAATATATATAATTTGGATCTTAAGAGCCACCAATTTGGATCACAAACAGTCGTATATTTTTCATTCATCAATCAATCAATCAATAATTCAATTTTGAGCCCTATTTATATCAATAAAATCTTAAGAATAAATTCGGTAATTTAAAACAAATATAATCCTATCTATCCGACCCAACGTTCAAATTTAAACTTAATATTATTCAAAACAAGTTAAATAAACCTAACAAAAATTAAAATTAAAAACAAGATAAATTTGGCTATAAATAGAAATTGGCATAAAAAGGCTTTGAAAAGGTCCAACTCAATTCAATTATGACTTAGTTAGAAAACTTGTAATTGGCCTAGGATAAATTGAGATTTTGCACGATGAGCTAGCCCAATTATGTAGACTTTTTCCAACCAAACATCTTTAAAGATTTCTTTGGCTTCAATTTACTACCTCAATATAATCATCAATTTGAGAGCGAAAGGTTAATGAAAATATAATATAATTTAATAATTTTCAAGGCCTTCTACAAATAATAAAAAAATCTAAAACATTTATTTATGCTTTTGTCTTAAGAAACCCATAAAATCTACCTGATAACAAGAATTTTGTTACATAAGAAGCATGAGTAGTCTTTGAGCATGAAATGAAGAGAGTCAAGGTATGTCTACTGCAACTAAGTTCATTTATATGACTTTTCTCATTAGCAATCAGGCTATTAATGATTTGTTATTTAAACTGATAATTTTGGGCAAGATTCCCTCAAATTTTTGAACTTGTTCTAGGGCGTGTCATGATAAAAAACATTAATGATGAATTATGTAAATGCATCCTAATAGGATATCCAAATGATATGTTGACTGACTTAAAGCAATTATTAGCTGATATTATTGCAAATTAATCAATTTACTTCCACTATTAAATCAATTTCAATGACTTTAAGAATGCAAAAATTAACTCAATTCAAGATTATATAATAGTTAGCATGATAACTTTGGTGCAACACTTGGTTAAATCGCATGCAAATCTAACCATATAGGTAATTCACAAGACCATGGCTAGATTAATTTTAAGTAGAGATTAAGCTAATAATGATTCATAGAAAGTTATAAGATTTGTCACAGTTATGCAATTATCCTAACATGAATGGAGATTATATCAAAAAGTTTGATCACCTTATAAGTATATCTCACTTTATTAGTTGAAGAAGTGGCGGCAGATATCAGACGACCAATGGTGAGGCAAAGTTGTAGCTGTTGAAGGTGATGTTAAGTATACTTACAGAATTATAGGTAAAGTTCTTTGTGAATGGTTTCAAAGTAACTAACGAAGTGACTACAAGTTCGTAGGATGCAAGAAAAGCGCAGGTGCAACATGCGAGCACAGTCAATGGTTTGCGAGCAATGCTTGAAGTTGAAGGACATGTTAAGAGGGCTGAAAGCGAAACAAACATGTGTTACATATGGAGTTGTAAGCAAGATAACGAGCAAGAGCTGAAGGGGATATGTGATATTTGACATGCGGTGTTGGGTGGAAGCAGTTCTGATTTGGGAGGCATGGGGAACAATGACCGGGCTAAGGATATGAGATAAGATTTTTACATGATTGCATGGCGTTGGGAGCAAGAGTGGATGCACAACAAATAGGATGCACATACAAGATGTACATTAGGCTGGTCAGTTGATGAGCAGGGAATGTACAGGGAAGCTTTAGGGGTGAAGACACATGGAGCATGAGATAGGTATGAGCAAGATTCATGGTTAGCGTGATCACAAAAATCAAAATCACTGATAGCCTTACAATCTACGATTGGGTAACAAGCCGCAAAATATAAGTCTTTATAAATTTAGAGCTAGAAGGATTAGAGTGAGGCATGGATGCGACATCTTATGTAAGGTTTTGATATCAAAATTCACGAAGGTGTAAGGAAGTAACTCCCATACCCAACTTGAAGTTTGTCATGTACATAACTTGAATAATAGCCTCATAAATAATAAAATTCCATTAATTCATCAACCAATCAATAATTTAATTACAAATAATGGGTCCATATTTATAGAAATAGGATTAAAAGGATAAGGCTAATTATTTGAAAGCGAATCTAATTTCATCCTACCTAATGAACATTTAAATTTAAACATGATATTATCCCCAAAAATATAAATAAACCTAATAAAATAAATCAAACTAAAAATAAGAGATAAAAGAAATTCGGCCATAATAGAAATAGATCTAAAAAGGTTTGAAATTGAACTTGGTTCAATTCAGTAATGACTTGGTTTAATTCCTTGAAATTGACCTGTAGCCAATTGGACATTTGCAACATGATTTGATTTGATTAATGACCTACATCAAGAGTTCTTCCAAAAATGCAAATAAAGCTTCAATCAACGACAAAATCCTTTCTCTCAACCCACCGCTCTCTGAGCCAATAAAATTGTACTTCATTTTCCTAATGATCATTACAAATGGTGAAAACTGTGAAAAAAAAAAGTGACATAATCATCAAATCATTAATATTGGATTTTTCATGTCAATCTTCAGGGAGAATGAGATTGAGTGAGTTAAAGGTGGGAAAAAGTTTGGGGCAAATGAGTTCAATAAACCTGCTCAACAAATAAAACATTACTAGCAGATGATATCTTGAGAACACTTTTTAATGTATATTTGAATATTTCAGCAAGTTAGAAGCTAAAAGTTACATAATAGATCATGCGAGCAAAAAATGAAAACAGCATACTCCAAAGATAAATGGATTCAACATGTTTTGTTACCTTAAAAACTTTCTTCCAGATAGCCTCTTGCCCATTAAATGCCAGAGGCAAGTTAACTCCTTGCAGAGCCATCCAATCTATCTCTTTTTCCCATCTTTTCCAATCCCACCATGCAAAAGAATCTATGCAAAAAAAAAGTTAGACATAACTAAATAGCATAACTTAAAGCAAGACAGATGGGTCTGCAATAAGAGGCAAATATGAATATATCATATAATCTGGAGAAGATAGAAAAGGTTGATGAAGCAAAAAAGTTAGTAAATCAATATCAAATAGAACATAAAAAGCGATGGATTAGAATTGCTCACAAAAATTAATCTTCTATCACATGACTCAAGATTTGATCACTAATATAAAATCACGCCAGGAAACCTTCGATTCCTATAACTTAGCTGCCTTAATAGTTTGAATAGATGTCTTTTTGGTCCAAGCAGCTGAGGTCAATAACATCAATTATGAAACTACTTATGTAACTACTATGAAGTAATTTTGATAGGTAATACTTGTAGATCTCATGTATTTCTATCAATAGAGACAAAATCAGCGAACAAACTCACAAAATCTGAAGGAAAATCACACACAAAGTAGTTTTTATTGCAAGAATCATACTAACAGAAAGAAGAATCAAAGCAAGATACAATTGATCATCAATTCTAGAGGAGGATCGATCTCTCCCAATCCCTAAATGATGAATCTAGAGCCCAAGACACCAAGAAGAAAAACCCAAGAGAACTCAATAATCAAAACATAACCCTAACTCTAATTACCCCATCCTACTTAAAGCATACAATTAATTAATCAATCCACAATTACTAAAAAGCTCTTGCCGCCCCCTCCTTTCCCTCCAAGGAGTTTGAATTTGAACTCTTAGTGGACCCTACTCCTCTCCCTCTCTCATTGTCGCCGTCCCTCCTGGAGTAAATAAGAACCGGTCCACTAGGGACCGGTTGTAGTTGGACCGGTCCACTAAGGACCCGTTTAACAAATTTGCAATGTTGTAAGGTCAAAAGTGTAATATCCGATTTGGCTGGGCCAGTTCAACCGAACAGGCCAGCCTTCTAATTAAAAACGCGACCCTAATAGGGGTCGGTACTGCTTCAGTTTCGCGGAACAGAGGGGGGGCGGATGGCCGAGGGCTTCGTGCGAGAGCAAGGTGAGATCCATTTTTCAATTTTAGCAAATGATTGTCTTCAAGGATAAGGATTAATGATTTATTTTCATTTTTATCGTTAATGAAGCGCTAATTTGGGAGGAAACGATGGTATATGAGAAGAACGACTGAGAGGAAGAAGGAATGAGGTTTGTTAAATTTTTTCTTTCCTTTTTCGTATAAATTATCCTATTTTATTTCATCTAAAACTAGAGATACTTTTCATAGAGGAAAAGAAAAGAATTGAAGGCAAGAAGAAAGAATTTGGGAGAGAAGGAAGAAGGAATTAGACTTTGAAAATTCCTTCTTAAGGAAAGGTAAACGATCAGTTTAAGAGTATGTTTCAATTCTTGTTCTTTTATTGATAAATAATGAGAAATATATTTTAAATTAGATTGGAATAATCCAAGTAATATAGATCTTGGTTGGCACTGGAGAAAAGAAGATTTGTGAGAAAGAAATGAAATCTTGTGAAGTAAGGTTTGTATAAGAACTCAAATGCCTATAGATTCATTTAATTGATATTTCATATTAATTAAATTATACTATTCTTAAAGTGGGTATTTTCATAATTTTATTTATTGTATTCTTTTCTAAAAAAAATTAGAAGAAGAATGTTACATAAACATTTAAGACTCATTAATTATTTTTTTTTATAATTACTACTTATGAAAAAAGAAATGTAAATATAAGTATACATGTATGTGAAAGAAATTGTATGTAAAGAAAATGCATATAAGGAAAATATCAAGGATATAAATCCTTTATACATGTATTAATACAGATATGTGCATCAAAAGTTGATATATGAATGAATGATATATAAGTAAATGAAAAAGAAATTAAAAAAAATGAAAATGAAAATGAAGGGGAAAAGGATATGCATGCAAACTATAGGAGTTCACCCCCTTATGATACTGATTGGGGGCGTCGTACTCGTGTACGTAAAAAAAAGTAAAAGGTTATGAAAAAAGGAAAAGGAAAATGGAAATGGTTGTACCTTCAGTACATTTAGACAGTATTCCTGTACAAATGAAAGAAGAAAAGGAATAAATATTAAAGCTCTATAAAGGTTATTAAGAACTGTAATATTATATGAATAATTGACTGAAATGAATGAAATGAATATAAAGAAAGTGAATGAATAAAAAGTATATTAAAGGTTATATGTAATGTATGTTTTATTTTCATGTTAATTTTTTTAACAGTTACCCATTGAGTTTACTTCGTAAACTCATTCCACTAATTAACTGTTTCAGGTAAGTCTCCAAAGATTAAGAAATGACAGAAAAAGAAGAGGTCGTCTATAGAAGACGGCATGCAACTGATAACAGGTAATTTATGAATTGAGATAAATATTAAGTATTTGAGGAATTTTGTTAGTAGCTCTTCAGATGAGGAAAGAGAATTTGATGTTTCAATGTTGTTAAGTTAATGAACATAAATGATTAGATCCTACCGTCCGACTTTTAGTTCCTTCCTCGTTAAATCAAGCATCCGGGCCGCGTCGTGATAGAAATAAATGTGGTTGTTGCTTAGATGGTAAGGTTGAGGTTGAAGCGAAGTCAAATGGGGCTCTAGTAGCAGTGGGTGGCTGTGGGAATATAGGCATGGAGAGGGACTTAAAAATGGAAAGGAAATAAATAAGTAAACTATTGAGCTCCTTATTCCATCTCTTTGTAAGATATTGGGGTGATTTCCTTTCCCGTTATAAAATGATATTTGAAAATCAATTTTGACATTGATGGTGAAAAATCACACAATAACAGTTATTAGCTTCACATTGTAGAAATCATGCCATGCCTACTTGCTAGTTGAACATGTGACTGCATCAGGCCTCTTTGGCAGCCAAAGATGGTATTCGAGGTATAAAAAACTTGAAGTCAAGGCTAGTAAAATACCTGGCGCCTGCTAAAAATGATGCATAAACATATTAGCCCATAATCCCATAGCAAGAATATATATATATATATATATATTATTCTATGCCATATCCATGCCAACAAAAAAGAGTAGAAGTCAGTTTTTTGGACCTTAGGAGTAATATGTATTATGTTTTTAGGCTAAAAACAGAAATGCTAGGACATTGCTTCATTGCAAGCTCATATGTTAGGCTTTCTACATAAATGTCGAGTCCACAAAGTGCAATCAGTAAACTTCAATTTTTATGCTTTCCAGTATTACTTAATGTATTATGTGATCATCTTTAGTTATATTTGAGTTAATTATCAGTGCTTAAAGAGACATTTGTCAGTCAGGCTTAGGTTGGCCTTTTTAGTATTCCTTCAAAATTAATTTTGTTATTTTGAATAAGGCCTATTATTATAAATAGTACCTAGAATCATGAAATTAAAAAGGTGATAATGGAATAGATGATGGTTTTCTTTTGGCATCCACTTTGGAGATTAATTCATCAGTTTCTCCTAAGGTTTCTTCCTGCGTTTTTTTCTCCTCCTATGTCCCTTCCTTCAAAGCTTTCATTCTTCTAACATTTTTAATCACATTAATCTTTATCTCATCAATTATCCCATACAATAAAATCTTCTATTCCAAACAAATTAAATATCAAAATGATCAAGATCAATAGATTATTTTTAAAGCAAACTTGTGATGAATGACCTCCTCAACATCATGAAGGCAAAAAGTGGAAGTTGGATCACATAGAATTAAAGTTGATGTTCAGGATATATCTTTATTATATATTAATTAATATGATGTCATAGTTGTAATATTTCAGGTAGTTATGATAGTTATGAAGGCTATGGAAGTTATAAGTCATGTTCACTTGTAGTAATTTGAGTTTGACTTTTGAATTTTAGAGTAAATTTTGGAAAGTCAAAAATTCAAATTGTAAAAGTAGTAGTTATGATGATTATAGTAGTTGTAGGATGATGAAAGACTGTTTCATTTTAGTTTTGTAAGTTTAATTTCATCTAGTTGTTGAATGTAAGTTGAAAAAATAAGCACTGCTATCCAAGGAACTTCCATCCTTGTATTCCCATGTAATGGACAACCAAAGGTAATTTTATAATATAGTGCAAGCAAGGGGGAACTATGGAGATTTCAAGCAAAGTTAAAACTAGAAGTGGTCGACCAAGGCTCCCTCTTTTTAACTCTCAAATTGATGAAGAGTCGCATAAAGGCTTCTACAAGTCATTCTAAGAATGAGGATGACTTAAAATTATTCTCAACAACCTACAATGCCGCATCAACCCACTGCTCACAAAATACGAGGCAGACATACACATCATTCAATAACGACCAAATTACCTCTTGGAAGTAAGGAAGTCACACCTAGGCCTCAAGAAAATTGAATTTTTAGTTATAAACCTATAGGAAAGTGATTTTATATGTACTCTTGGCTGTAATTAAGAATTATTGATGTTTGAAAGAAATGTGGAAGAGCTATTATATATATACCCCCCCCCCCCTCCTCTTGGCTTGGTGCCCGAGAGCCCAATCCTTGGCGGGATTGTTCAATTTTATACATATGTTTTTATTTTGCATGATAAATTATCATCTCTTATATCTCCACTTCAATGTCTCTATCATACCAACGCTCCCTCTAGCCTTCTCTCAAAATAAAGAAAACAAAATTAAACAAGACCAATTCGCCAAGCTCCTTCCTCTAAAACCTAATCCACTTCACTTGCCACTACAAGACTCCACACTTATTGCCTCTTGCCACCCAACTTCAAACCTCATCTAAAGCCTTTACCCTAATCCAAGACTTCCTAAAACAGCTAGTTAATTCATTCACCAATATTCCACAAAACAATCCAGTTTCCAACCCTCCATCTAGGTTCATTAGTGATTTGACCTAATCTTCCAATCAACTTGTCTTCCTTCCCCATATATAACCCTAGAAATGCTTAAATCTCTTGGCCTCCTTCCTAGCTTATTCTTATACAACTAAAACCCCTTAGCTGACTACTCCTAGTCCTCCACCACAAAAAGTTCATCACAATCATTTATTCATCATCAATTAATATCAAAGCTTAAGTTCCTGGATCTAAGAACTTTTTATGATGAAGATTTGTATCAAAGGTTCTATGATATGTACTAATGGTTTTTTCTTCCTCCACCATGCACTTATCTCATATTCCAAACTCATTCATAAACTTACATGAAAGTCTAGTTCAAATTTACCCCTAATAGTGACTTACTATCATACATTTTCTTCTCCACCATTCTTATCATGATTTTTTTTTAAATGCTATGGTACAGAGCTCATGCTAGAGTAACTGCAATACTGATGTTCTTAAGAATCTATAACAAGAGCATCATATTCATAATGTTGATGAAGGTGATGTTCCTCCCCCCTCATCTCTACCACTTCAGGATTTATTTTACATTTATCAAATCTTCATTAGGATAAATTTCCCCTTTGTCTCTATTTCATGAAGGATTATGCTATCTCTATAGTATTGTCAGGAGCCTCGAGCTCTTTCAACTGTCTGGAATTGAGTTCTTCACAACCCATGGGAATTATTGTGGTGTAACATGTCTACGTCATAGTCTTTATGATTTTTTCAATATTATTTCATGTATTACGTGATCTTCCTTAGTTATACTTATGTTAATTGTAAATGGTTACAAAGTCAGTTGTTATTTAGGCCCAATTTGGTACTTTTTTTTCTTTAAGGGTAATTAAATCATTCTGAAAAAGTATTTAATTATAAATAGCGATATGTTATGTAATTTAGGTGATTGATGAGGGCATAAAAGGCTTTCTTTTGGCTTCCCCATAGGGATATTTTCCTCTTCTCAATGATTTCTTCATGCTTTCTTTCTCTTTACCTCTAACTACCACCTCCCTTCCTACGAGGAATTCTTTCTTCTAATCTTCTTAGTCCCCTTCTTCACATCAACTCCCTGGTTCTCCTTTACAACGAATTGTTGAATCCTCAACAATAAAAATATTCAAGTCCACTCTGATTTTTTCTTCCACTACCCTACTTGTTGTCACATAATAAATTAACAATTTATCTAATACCATTTTGAGTATGCTCATGAAGTACATTGTTAAGATAATGCATCAAATTTACTAGATCAAAAGTTTTGCTAAAAAAACAATAAAAGAAAGAAAGAAAGAATAGCTAACTCTAAATTTGTTTAATATCAACGCATTCATTTTTTTTTTTTTTTTTTGATCCTAACTATAAAGAAAGGTAAGTCTTAGGAATAGAAAAAAAATACCAAACACTCACAGCTTGAGGTAACAACATTCTGATAATAGTTCCATGGAACTGGACGTTCAACTTTCACACCTTGGCCTTCCACACGTGGTAATGATCCAGGTGAAGGAACGGTATCCACTTGAACCCCACCTGTCTTATCCCATGAAATATGAGCACCACACCAGTATTTCAAATACCAATGAAGGCCAGATGAAACCTCAACAGCTGTACTTCCCTCTATCCTGAATATAAAAAAAAAAAAAACAAAGTGCTCCTTTTAATAACCAAACCCATATTCAGAAATTAAAAGGATTCAAAAAAGCTTCATTTGATAAAAGATTGCAAAAATAAATAAATAATAATAATAATAATAATATAGAAAATCAGCATATAGAATTTTGGGTTCTAGAGCATACATTGCCTCCAATAGGGAAAATTATTAGGTCCGGACACCGGACATAGGGATACGTCCGGACTCCAATAAAATATTGACATGTGGAATGTACATGTGTCCGCATAATTTTAAGTAAGGCGCGTCAAAAGCGTAGGTAAAATGCAGGTAAAATGCAGTCAAAGTACAGTCAAAGCGCAGTCAAAGTACAGTCCACATGTCAAATTTTAATTGGACCTATTTCTAGGTCCGGTGTCTGGACCTAATAATTTTCCCTCCAATAGAGACATGGACTACATAAAGTGTTCAATAAATGCTGTTGTACTGCAGCTGATTGACGAGAACATAATTTAAAAGCATCAAACAGTATAACGATCCAAAACTGTTAGGAAGTAAAATGAAGCATTGCATATTGAGAATCCAAACAAGATTTTGCTTCCAAAATAGGATCCCTGAAAGAGAGCAGAAAATGATAGCATAAAAGAGTCATAACCAAGTAATCCAGATTGGTGCTTACATTATTTCTGGCCCATTTAGACTCGAGTTGACAACACTGCCAATACGGAAGCAGCTGAAGCTTTCGCAAAGACCCTATCAGAAAACGAAAGACAAGTATAAATCCCACAAAATGTTAACCATTGAAACATATATTACATTGACGGAAGCCCTCAGGAAGACCAGAGAAAGATAATTCAAGATGCCGTGACAGCATCGAACTATTTACTGCCCTAGAACTTACAAATCAGTGCCCTACCTTGGGGACGACCTTTAGAAGGAAGCTGGAGGTGTGTCTTGGGAGCAAACGGCGAAGGACACCTTGGGCTGCAGCCAACTGCACGGAAGGTGGAGCTCGCAGGCTCTCTTCCCGCCGAAGAATTTGCTCCACAGCATCAGTTCCTCGGCTTTTCTTTCCGGCGAGGACAGGAGATGGTGAAGATGGGTGTAGAAGGATAGACAAATGAAGGAGCAAAAGGAAAAGTGCTCTCATTGTTTTGCTTCCCAGCGGCCGTGGTGATGTCAATGGCACTCTAGGGGTTGTTTGGCAACAGGATTTGAGCAGGGTTTAAGCAGGAATTAACCAACTAAAATTACGTTTCTCCTCTTTGCCTTAAATTCCGAATTTAGTGAATCCTACATTGGCCGGCTTTAACATAAATCCAGAAGTCTGATCAACACTTCTTTACACTTTGCTGCTCCCGTTCTCTAGGAGCTGCAGCCCCGACTTCCTCTCTCCTTTGCCGGCGGGGGTTTCGTAAATTTCAAGGGAAGGGATTTGGGGAGAAAGAAAAAGGTTTCGAATTTTAACAATTATTATTAATATTATCATATTACTTAAATAAGATATATTAATAAAAAAATAAAATTAATCTTAATGATTCATATTAATTAATGAAAAGTATTACTTAAAAAACATTAATAGTATTTATGATTTAATTAAATTAAATGAAATTTATTAAATTTAATTATCTTATGCATATTAATTAATAATTTAATAGGATATTAGTTGTTGCGTCCTAGATAATTCATAGCAGTAGAAAGATAGAGAATTTAACGTTCTAGTTTTTTATAAAGATCAAGCATACATATAGATAAGTGAGATGGGTGCGGCATTCATAAGATACATCATAATTTTTACGTGACAACCCCTTAAAAGAGGAAAAACACACAAGGCTTTGACCAATTTGAATGAATGTATTAATGTTTGTTGTTGATTATAAATGATACCCTTCATCAGGTGAAGGCTTTGGCTCAATGTAGTAAATATGCATCATATATAGCATTTTACATGCTTAGGATTGGAAGAACTTAGTGTCATGAGAGATATTTCTCAATAGGGTGATAGCATATTCATTTGGTTAGCATGATTGTGTTTGGGCATCTGAGGTCAAAGGGATCTTAGTCGGGCGACAGTGATTGGAAGGACTATAGTCGGGCGATGTTGGCTGAAGGAACCATAGTCAGTGGGAAATGATTATTTGAAGGATTGTAGTCGGCAAGCGATGGAGGTCGGAGGGACCATAGTCTGGTGGGCGATAGTTGTATGAGTGATCATAATCGAAGAGCGATGGAAGTCAGAAGGATCGTAATCGAACATCAATAGTCGAAAGGACTGTCAACAAGTGATGGCAGTATGAGGGACTGTATTCAGCAGGGAACTGTGGTCAGAATAACCATAGTTGATGGGTGACGGAGGTCAAAGAGACCGTATTCGACAAGGGACAATGGTCAAAGGGATCGTAATCGCTAGCGACGGAGGTTGGGGGCCTATAGTCGGATGATGGTGGCCAAAGGGATCGTAGTCGGCGAGCAACAGTAGTCAGAATAACCATAATCTGTGGGAGTTGGAGTTTAGAGGGATTGTAGTAGGTGGGCGATGGCGGTTTGAGGGATCTAAAAATGTTGGAATTGTATCGTCCCTGCCAAAATCGGGCTGTGATAAGGCTTGGCGGCAAGTTTCCTGCACAAGTGCGCACTATCCACCCCCACCCTCACCACCCCCATCATCTTTTTTTTTCTAATTTCTGACACCTCAAACTTAGGAAATATTATAAATTTTATTAATTTATTTCTTTTTTTTTTGTTATTATTATATGATTTTTAAACTTAAAATTCTTTAAAAAAAATTAAAAAAAAAACCGGAATTTTATGGATTGCCTTTTAGCTACCCTCCACTTTTGCACCTATAAATACTCCCCTTAAAAGTTAGGGATAGCACCCTTTTTCTTAGCTAGTCCAAATTTTATTCTAAAAATTGAGGGAAAAATGGACTCGCAAAATAATTATTTTAATCTTAATAATTATTAATATCATTTTTATTTTTATTTAATCTATTTAAATATAAGTCATTTATTAATTGCAACTATGAATATCTTTCCTGCAATTACCTAAGCATTTTAAATGGGACCAACATCACTTTGATATATCGTAGGTACTATATGTGTGGTCTTTTTCTTTTTTTTTTTTTTAATATTCCCTATGTAGGTCAAGGTGGAGAACGACATATTTGTAGCTAAGTGCTTTTAGTCTCTTGGGAAGTTGAGTCCTCCTAGAATGCGGGCTAAGCTTTGTAGGTCGGTTCCCCCAAGTTGAGAAGATTCATCAACCTTCTATTCAAGGAGATACATATATTTCATCTCCTTTTAATCTTAACAAAATGCCACAAAGGATGAGATTTTTGAAAGGATGATGCCTTGCTACTAAAGATGGGAGGTGCTAATGGTCCTCTGAAAATCTCAACAATAGTATGTTGTTGAGATCATTCATTGTACAAGTAAACATGTAAAATTATTGTTTAAGGTCATTTGAATGTATTATATCGATAAATTAGTGAAGTTTTGTAGTATCATTGTTGAAGTAAATAAAAAGTATTTGTTTACCAAAGGGAATATGGAGTATGTGTTTTTATTCTTGATGTATTATAAAAATGTTATATTTTTTATATTATCGTATTATATTCAAGATCAAGGTGTTATATGAACCATGGGTCATCTCCTAAGAGTGGCTAAGACCTTGCTCGAGAATTGGTGTAATACACAATGTATTGATCTTAACACATAATTGGTTAGTCAATAACGAAATTGTGTGTTATGTCTAATGGCTCTGTTATATTAAGGAATAGTAAGTACAGGGGATGCATCTCATGGAGAATGAATAGTTAGCATGTAGTTAGAAGTGAGATCAGTTGTTAATATAATTGAGCCATCATCAAAGATCAATGATTATATGCATGGGTCATTTCATTTATTTAGGCATTAACCAAGGCTTTCTTTGATGATGGCTTTGAAATGTTCTCGATGCTATTCTCAAGGCTATTCAAAGGTTAAATATTTATGCAAAAATATCTTATAATTACCACATAATTTTATATTTGCTTGATGGAAGCCTATTGATGAAGATCTCTTTTTCGTGATGGCACCATAGTTTTTTAGTATTTCCTGCTTGAATTTTGAGGCTTGGCATTTCCTATATAGCATGGTAAGGAAAACAATATTTCATTTGCATTTAGTTTCTCTAAGAGTGATTCTATGTTGTTTGTTTCCTTCTTGGTTATTCTCTTATCTCAACAATGTCTTTTATTCCCAATAATGTAATGGTATTTGGGACTATTGGATGAAGAGATCTAGAGAAGTAAGATAAATTTTATAAGTTTTGGTTTCTTAGGCTTCTTGGTGAGCATAATTACGTTAGAGTGACTAAGGAAGAATATATGCCTTCCTATTAATAATAGGTTGGCGTTCTCAAGTGGGTGAAACTCCTAATGTGGATTATATTATGAAGTAGGTTTTTTCTTTTTGACATCATTTTAAATCTTTAATTTAGAGAAAACATTAAATATGTGTTATCATCCTTTCTTTTCATTCTTAAATAGTTTGTCTTAATCTACTTATTTGTTAAGAGGGGTGAAATGAATGTTTGACTAGTATGAGACAACCTAGTCCAATTAACGATTCTCGTGTTATCTTGGATGGATTTGTTACTTTATAAAAGCATCCTCTCCCTATCTTGTATGGGCTCGGACTCTTCCAATAAAGGATGCTTTTAGAAGTTTGTATATATGTCTTCCAAAAAGATATTGGGGTATCTGACCATCCCTAACCATGTTGGTGTAGAAAACCTTAGAGTTTTTTACCACCTCAATTATAGGGACCTCTGCAATGGTGATTATGGAACTATTAAGTGTAAATTGTATATTATTTATTATGTTAAAATTAAATGAAAACATATTATTTTTGTTGTGTTTATAGATAAATTATTCAGAAGAAAGAGAAAATTTATAAGTGTTGAACGAACATCATAGCACCCACATAGATACCACTGCAACATTGCTATCTACAACATCCCAATGCTAATTTTTAAAATTACATATCAGACCTCTAAGGAATTTTAGGAAAACTTGGCACCCCAGTGGATCCAAGGTCATTGCTACAGCACCTATCAGTGTCGTTGTGCTAGAAATCAGCACCACAACACTAGTCTCAAGAAAATGAGCACTTGAGCACCTATCATCGAAATGCCGCAGTAATGCATTATACTTTTAAGTATCGCAGCCCTTAACTTTTACAAGGCCGTGATGGAGTAGTTATCAAAATGAAGTGCCATATTCACTCAACCAAAAGACACACTGGTTCACCCAATAACTATGCCAGGTCATCCCAACATCGCAGTGGAGCAAACATTATAGTGTTGAGGCGCTAGTTCATTTCACATCACCATGGCACAACTTTGTCGAGCGTCGTGGTGCCTGAGTTCATTTTTGCACATGTATAAATAGTTATTCATTTGTTTTATTAAACAATTCTATCATTTTAGTGGAGTCTTATACTTTGTTATATCTTCCCCTTGTTCCCCCTTAGATTAAAGTCTAAAAGAGGCTTGGGAAATGCAAGATACTTTCATTCATGAGATAGTAGCCTCTATTGTGTTAGCATTTCTATAATTGAAAGAAAAAGGAGGGTGGATAATATCAATTGATTCTTTCGAGTGACATTTATCTTATTCATTCTCTAATATATATTCCATATGAATGAAATGAATATGAGTTTGCTTTCTATGTTATCCATATCTGACTAAATCTCTAAATTTTGAGCTAATAATGTAAACACATAATAAGTACTAATATAGACTCTTGTGCTTAAAATTATTTCATAGATATTTTCAATATCTCCCGTTCTCCATTTAATGTATATAATGGTCATATATGTAGTTAATATTTAGTATGATGTATAGCATCAACAAAGGAATATTAAAATAGAATGATGGCATACCTAGACATATGATTAAACATTCTAGATTCTATGGAGATAGTAAAATTGTAGCAATACCTTAAATCTCTCTTTTCACCCATACAAGTTAAAGATAGATCTAGGGATGCATATGCTCTTATCCAACTCTAAAACTAAGAGTCTCATTAGGAAAACTATATTATATTACAATCATTAGTCCAAAATATTTTATTTACATTAGTGTCCAATTTTCTTACAAGTCTCTATTATGTGGAAAAAACTCCAAAACATCCATTTTTTACATTAAGTAGGGTAAATTATATATTTAGAATAAATAGTAGTAGTCTAATTACAATTAAGCAGAACAGTTTATAGTAGGATTGATACTCTTTTTTATCACTTTATTACTTAATTGACATGTATACTTACGTATTTAGTGGGCTTTGATAAATTTTATATAAAAAAGCTTAAGCATATACCCATATGAAATTAAAGCAAGTACCAACCCACATCAAGTTCTTAGCACCGTTACTGGGAAATAATGTGCATATTGCAATTTTATCTA